CCTGGTTTTCTTCAGTATTTGTATGYGCAGATTTTAAAATACATATATACAAATTAATTGAAATTAAATAACTACTCCTATCTCCTGTTTAAGGCAATACACATTTCACCTTCAACTGTAATTATGGTTCATTAATCAAACTGAAAAAAGACCACGATGTAGAGGCTGAACTTTGCATGGTAAAACTTGTGCTGCTGTAATGAAGTAGGAATATGCACTAATGGSTGAAGGATCTGTATTCATAAATTGGCAACAAGTCAAAAGAGATGAATAAAAGAAATTCAATATATAAAAGCAGGGGAGYATTTCCAGAGAAAATAGATTAATTTCTTACATAAGCCACAGTCTTCCAGATGTGTTGGAAAAGGTACAGTTTTCCTAAACTCAGAGAGCACAAGTCTGAAAACCTTACTATGCAATAAAACTGYTCCAAGTAATATTGCAAATGAAATAAGGCAGTAACTGAGTGTCATTAGACACACTTGTCCATCTTTACTCAATCTTCCTTAAATCTTAATAAATCATAATCTTACTGAATCTTGATTTATCACACAACTTTATACAGCAGTCTTATATATCCAATCCATTTATTCTTCTCTGGTGTTGACTGACACTTTCTGAAGTGTCATAATTGACCAAGACTTTTAGATGCTGCCATATACAAATAGTGGAATTGCCAGGACAGAAAGCATTTAACTCTGCCCTGTGGCGTCCTGAATTTCGAGCCAACCTGAATTTTTGGGCTGCTGCTATGGCATTCTCCTTCTTCCTAGACATACCTAGTTTTAGAAAACCCATTAAAAATCATAGGTAGTCCTTAATKTAGGTGTAGTGGAACTTTCTTTCCATGCTCTGCCAGTTACACTGGGCAGAGCAGCCTGATCAAAGCTATGATCCTGGTTTTTTTTCTCCTCTGTGCTCCTTTTGTACAAGATAATTTTAACTGCCATGAGCGACCTACAGAATTTTTGCARAATGTCATTAATTAAAGATTGATAAAATACTCTTTGCTTTGCATGGTTACAGAMGTCAAGTGATATGTAATTCTCTTTCCAGTCTCTCTAAGCAATCCTGTAATTTACACACACCTTAGTAATCAAAAGGGCAACTTCAAAATGTGTTTCAGTACTCCTTAGGTAGAGAATGTGGGTTTAATTATTCAGAGTTTTWAAAATATATTCAGGTCACTGATCTACCAAAGCCTGTATCAAAAGAATATTCATACCATCCATGGGAACTGAGTGCCTACATCTGACTGAGAATTTGCAGTTTAGGTCTAATGCCTGTAAATAACACACAAGTTTTATGGGCACAAATGGGACTGACCACTGCAAGCTGTGAGAGGAAAGAAAACTCAGATAGTGGTAAAATAGAGGAAGTTGGAATAAAGGTTGACTGAGAGTTTAGAATAAATTTGGAAACAAGTAATTTTTTCCTAACCATGCCTGGCTGTGGCGAGGCTGTTGCTGTGGTTAATGAACAATCAGGGTGCTGCATGCGTGAGTGGGTGCCAGTTGTGCAACTGCAAACTCCAGAGGAAAACCACGCAGAACTGCAGCAGCACACAAACATCTCCTCGCTGCCTGAACTAATGAGCCATTTAGCTGGGATAAATCAGGTTATTCACTGGATGTTTCAAGCAGCTAATAGGCCCGATCCTGCTGCTGATCCTTATTCAAACTGGTACTCAAGGAGAATTAAATTCTGTATCCATTGAGGGAATAATAGAATGAATAATGAGATTGCACACGTGAAATCACTGCAGGATGAAGAGACTACATAACTGAAAAAAATTAAAATTCATCATAGTGAAGCATTTGCTGTTTGTTTTTTGGAGGAAGAAACATTTGATCAAATAGAGGGAGACTAGATTTTGAGATAACTAGAAACTCCATCATTCCAATGCTGATTCTTCCTRATTTTTTGGGGGGCTTCAGTATTCCTACCTGGGAAAATAAAAACACTTCCAGAGCTTATGAGACTTTGCTGAGATTACTGTACTTCTGAAAAGCATTTTGATAGAGTTAGATATTAACTACAAAGACTTTAAATAGTGGTAGTTCTATGAACATGTGAAAATCCCAAATAAAAAGTATAAAGTAAAACATGTTTTTATGAGAGATGTTTTGGTTGAATTCAAAGTTGGGAAAGTTGCTCACAGAAAAAGGATTTAGAACTGCTAAAAGTGGGATCTTACAACTGATCTTTGTGTGTCTTTCTGAACTGCCATTGCTAAAAATTCTGYATAAATCCTCTGCAACATAGGATTGTGAATTACTTCATAAAACATAGGGAAAAAAATAATTTTTTATTAAATGCTTAAAAGAATTACATTTAGTTTTTCAACATGCATTTTGGCAATTCTAATTGATGAGACCTAGTTTAACAAAATATAGAGAAATTCAGTAATCAGGGCACAGGATGTGCAGTTTAATTATGTTGGTGTGCATTTCTATTTGTTTCTAATGTAGAGGATCTATTGGTAAAATGAATGCCCATTTTGTGGTCTGTTATGCAGAAAATGTTTAATCCAGTGTTTGATTTACTCTGTTAAATCTTCTTTATTGAATGTGCTTATTCATCCATGCAGAATTGGGTATGCTGCTTTCTGTTAATATGACATTGCAATTAAATAGCTAAAGAGAAAAACATGGCAAGACATTTTCTCAAGGTCCRTGAAATTCTCATAAAAATTATTCATACTTACATATTTCACTTCTACATTTGCTGATACTAAAAATGAAAACTACTGAGAATTATTTTGGTGGTGTGTGGGATTGACAAACCTTGCAGCTCAAGATCCTGAATAATCATTTTTGTCAAATAAATAGTACTAAGGATTTCTGGTCCAGTGGATAATGACTGTCATCACGAAATAGGATTGCACTGATTGCATCTTATGAATGAAGCTAACAGGAACTCACARCACCAAACAACAGCATTTTGTGGTGGGATAAATACTTAAGCACTTGAGAAACAGTAAGACATTGACAGTGAAATAGCTCTGCTCCAGTGCAGTCCTAGAATTATATTGAAYAGTAACAAAAGGGTTTCGTGATGATGTTACACTTTCCTGAGTGTGCCTTCCCTCAGTAGGAAAAGGATGTGCCAGGGGAGTTTGTCTTATCTCATCTAACYAATATAGTGATGCTTTGTTCCTCAGCACAAGACATTTAGGTCAGGGATGATCAAGCATTGTGAGAATTTTGGAGCCATATTTCTTTTAGATTTTAAAAAGTAGAAATGACAGTTTCATCCACAGAATTGCATGGGAGCTGCAGAATGGAAGTTTTAATCAAAACAGTTGGAACATAAGTATAAGAAACATAAGACTTGAACTTACTCCTTTTCTATCTGAATTCATAACTCCTAATTTTCTCTGTTATGTATTTATCAGTGCAGTGACCAAGTGCTGATGTTTAAATCTCTCTTTTTTGTTTTTGCACTGTTGGATGTTTCCTGCTAGACTGTTTTCTGTGCTGCACTCAGCTCTAGCACGTCTGGCARTACCACAGGGGGAATGCAGCCTCTGGTTTCCATTAGTCACTTTTTACTATTTTCACTATTCTTTTGCTATGTGAACAAGGAGCTTGTAATAAGGTGTTAACAGGCTGCTAGCTGGTTTATTGTTGGTATTTAAGGTGCTAAGACTTTAATATAATCATACACAATGAATAATATTAAGAGATTAGTTTAAAGCCATATAAGCCATTAAATGTAAAATAAAAACTTTCCAGAAATTTCCAGCTTACTTTGGCACAGGTGTCCCGTGCTGGATTCTTTTGCCTACATTGCTGTATCTGGCTTTTTCAAATTGGTGGTTTTAGTCTTGCTGTTCTTGCACTCAGATTGATGTTATGGGAGGGATTACTCTGAACCAGGATATTCTGCGTTTTACCAAATTCCACCTTCTTTTCTTTGTAAGGTGAAGGAAGAGGCTGAGGAAGACTAAAGTGTGGCTTTGGGCTTCAGATGGAAAGAGTTAATTGTTGAGTTGAAAAGAGGATTTTGCATGCAGAGAACRTAGTACAATCAAACACATAATATGGCTGTTAATTAACAAGAACGTAAGATTAATCACTGATACACTTTCTAACTAATAGTAACATACAAATAAATTTCTTTTTAAATCTCTGTTTAACGTGGCGGCCAAAGGAAAAAAACACTGCAGTTGGGAGTAAGGGAAATTTTTGAAATAATGATGGAAATATTTCCTTGTATATATTAATAAGGAGCAGTGAGCAACAACACTGAAGAAACAACAGAAGTTGTTTTGGAAACAGTGAACATGCAGGGGAAATAACGAAAGTSAAATCTGATGTTTTTGAGGAAATGATCATCCAAGAAACTTCAGTGGAATTCACAGAACCACAGGATGGTTTGTGCTGGAAGGGACCTTGAAGCCCATCCAGTGCCACCTCCTGCCATGGCAGGGACACCTTCCACTGTCCCAGGGTGCTCCAAACCCTGTCCAGCCTGGCCTTGGACACTTCCAGGGATCCAGGATTTAAGATTTCTAGCAATTTGGAACAGCCCAGCTTTTCTGGGCACCCTGTGCCAGGGCCTCACCACCCTCACAGAGAAGCATTCCCTAGTAAAGACTTTCTTCTTCAAATCGATCCATAAAATTATACAAAAACATGCCTGCATTGAAKCGATCTGCGTTTGGCTCAGTAGGTAAAATGCCGCCTCGTAACTCTATTTTAGAAGCTTACTGATGGATGTAGCTGTCTATGCATGTTATGTTTCCTGCTGCATCCCGCAGCATTCCTGCAGGACAGAAAACGGCTCGTTCTGTGGATGAGCAGGGCAKGCGAGGGGTGGTGAGGCYGAGGGGCCGGCRGGCTSCGGGGGGACACRGCGGGGACACAGCGAGGACACCCCGGGACACTCCCGACCCCTCCAGCGCTCCCTGAGGGCTCCGCTCCCTCAGGCGGAGGGGGGGCGGGGCCGCCCCTTCCGCGCGCCCCCGGAAGCCCCGTAGCCGTTCCCGCCTTTTCCGCCGGCGGCGGCGCGCCCGTGACGGCGCCTCCCAAGATGGCGGACAACCTGCCCACAGAGTTTGATGTGGTGGTGGTGGGCACCGGTACGGGGCGGGACGGGCACGGGGGGAGCGCCGGGCCCTGGCAGGGGTCAGAGCTCGAAAGGGTGGCGGGAGGATGCGGGTCCCCGGCTGAGGGGTGGCAGCGGCGGCTGGGGAGAGCGGGCAGGGTGTGCGGGTGGATGATGAGGTATGTGCAGGGACGGATCCGTGACACGGGGGGGGACATTCCCGCACTCGCAGCCCGCTTTAGGTGAGTCACTCACAGCAGCTTTAGGGCTGCTGCTAACACTTAAATGGCCACCTTTGCTTAGAAGTGGAGGTGTCGCGGAGCCCTGTGAGGGGCTGGCTCTCGGAGGGGGTAGCCAGGCCCCCGGCTCTGTGACCGGCCACAAACCTCCTGTCCCCCCACCTGAGATCAGCGGCTCCTTTGGTGCCTCAGAAAGCCTTTTGTGACTCTGTTTCCCTTGCCAGCCCTTATTCCCGAAATACCATCCTTTTGGTCCGGTTTGCCTTTGTGCACGGAAAATAGCTCTCAAGACCTGAATTTCTGTTTCATTGCAGTACATATGCTATAAGTTGATAATATATTTTTTGTCGTATCCTGCAATACAAGTAGTTTTAAATCTTCAAGGTAGTTTTTCTGGTTGTTAGGCTTGTAAATAACACACAGCTTTTTTGAGTCTTGCTCATTAAAGCACGTCTCTGCCTGTGAACAATCAGACACTTAATTCTAATCTTTCTGCACTATCTGTATCCTTTACAAGTTCATACTGTTTAGGTGAATAACGATGGAGACTGGAATGTCTCATTGTAACTTGCCACAATGTAACTAAAATAGAAGTTTTAAAATACTCCTTCAGAACTAAGATTCTTGTTGTTTGTGTATTAAAATAATCTTGAAGTATTGAAACAGATTTCTGTTTGTAGAACCCAGTGACCTGGTTCAGTCTGGTTTTGATAAGCTCTCCCACCTTACGTTCAGCATTGAGTTCTATAGTCTTAAAATGCATTGATAGTTTATAGGTCCCAAGTTAAAAGTCAGATTTTGTTTGCCTTTGTAGAGAGCTCATGGTGTTATTTGAAGCACAAATTATTCTCTGAGCTAAATTCACTGAACTATTGCTTTATTTGGCGGTGTTGATTGGTATTCAAGATGCCTTTTTGCCCACCTGTAGAGAGTACTGCTATAACTAATTCCAAGATTCTCAGAATTCTTCACTTCAGGAATTACTTTGTCTTTTCTTCACATTACTTTTTACCAAGAAAATACATAAGTRTTGATTAACACTGGTAACTGACTGGGGTTTTTTAAATTTGTATTAAATTTGTCACTATGGAAGATTGKTCAGAGTRGAACATTCAACTGCCTTCTCTTTAKGAAGTGATTCCTGAGGGAATATTTTAGCTTAGTCYTCAACTCTCTGGTTTCTGATGCTGTAACCAGTGCTGAGTGTACTTTTGAATATCTAATTGTCATACCATAATAACTAGAATGTTTGTCTTTAATGGTATTTTTAATGCATAGTAGTAATTACATTAATTTCTGCATGTGTGGCCTTTGCTGGTTTTATAACTTGTGCATCTATAAATTTAGTAATTAGACTGAGTGGTAACATCTGATTTGGATTTGTTTTTATTTCAGGCTCATTTAACTATTTCCCTGTGTTAAGCTTAGTGCAAATGGARCCTCACATTAAACTTTAGTCATCAATGCTTCATTTAATGTCTAGGTTCAATTAATTCATCAATATTTCTATGGGAAAAGGAAATTCTCTTTTTGAAGAAACTCCTTTTCCTTAACTCAGATTAGATATTTTCTTGCATGAGCAAGTTTAGAGCATGACAGATGTGGGTACAGAAATACTCATCCTGGTGGGTACAGTTGTTAAATAGAGAAATTCACAGGCAAAACATTCAGCAGYGTTTGGGCCCGGCAAATGCCAAGATTTGCAACCTTGTGGCTGTGCAAAGTGGTGTGGATACAGGTGCAGGGTCATGTTTACCTTGGAATTTCTTCAGTTCATTGGATTGTATTCCGTCTTGACTTCTTGTCTCTGGCATTCCCCAGGACTTGAAAGTTGTAAAGGATATGGCTCTTTAAAGGGTGTTGTATTCACAAGTTTGTCTGCCAATAATTCTAATTTTTTTTCTAAAAAAGGAGTTATTCTTTATAAAAGCAGTCACAGTAAATATTCTAGTTCTATGCAATTTTCTTTCCATTCTGGTTTTCAGTGGTTATAAATAACACATGAAATGACTTTCAAGGTAGAAAGCAGGAATGCATTTTGAAATATTCTATAAAATAAAGAGTGATTTATGGTTTCATATGATTTTGGCTGAAAGCACTCGGGCTTTGCCAGGTCATCAAAGTCCTGTCAGGAGAATCTATTATTTATTGTTCGATATGCWGGGAGTGGTGTAAGTACTTTATGTTTATCTTATGTAAGTGTAGTGTGTTAGGAAAAATCACTTCCAGRTACTAACACAATTTTTAAAATATACCTTGAAAAACTAACCCAAATATTACAGATGTGAATTTTAAAGTAAACACTGAGGATTGATTTTTTTTTTAAATAACAATTCCTAATGGTTTTATTGTTGCTGGATATTTTTAGAATATGCCAGAAATGTTTTTCCAGTACATCTTTTGGGCTGATATTTTGGTTAYGTTACCTTATATAACTGCACAGTCTTCAGTTTATATCAGCAGCTATTTAGAGTTGATGAAAGCTCAATGGAAAACCAGCTGAAGATGGATATTTTTTGACGTCAGTGGTCATTGTGGACTAACACAGTGGCACTGACTTGTAATGTTGATGTCTGGGAGGAGGAAATAGACCCATGTTTTTACAATCATTTGTAGATAAGTCATTGCCTGATCGTGTGAATGTCAAACAAAATGAACACTGACTCATAGCCCTGTCCCATGTCGTGTGTGTGTGTGTGTGTGTGTGTGTGTGTACCTTTATGTTTTTACTGATTCGTTTTTTTTTGAACCTGGCTAAAATTGTTCTGGCTTTCAGCTTGGATTTTGGGGTGTAGCAGAGGTGCTGTGATAGCCTTCTGGGAGGTTTAGGCTCCCACTGGTACCTCAGACAGGTTTCTTTCCCGGATACTGTGCAATGTCCCTGGTTGCTCTTGTGAGCAAACTCATTGTTCTGTGAACTCTTTGTTGTCCTTCTCAGCCTGTTTGTGTTCTGCAGGTTTTCCAGATTATATTGCTGAGCTTACAAAATCAGAGCCTGTAGGACTCCTGTGACCCTACTGTGAAAAATACAGAGTAGGTCATCTGCATATCAAGGTGAAAAAGTCCTTTAGAAAAAGGCTTAGCAAGGTACTTTGAAATTCTAGTCTGAATGAGGAATAGTTGAAACRCCAGGTTTGTGTATCCCAGTAGGAAATGTGGTTCCACTGCTGGAGAATGGACACAGAGCTGGGGTTCAGTGCTCCTGCAGGGGCTCCTCTCTGGGGCTCTTGTACACTGAGGCAGTGCTGGAGCACCCTGCGAGAGCCCCTGGTGGTACCCAGGGAACTCCATGGAACTGCTAAGGCTTTCTACATATCCTTCTGTGAAATGCTTAAAAATGTGTAAGGAGCAAGGACAGTAAGCCATCTGCCCATGGGGAAGCAGAAAAGGAAAAACTTGCGTGAAAATAAAACTTACCAAAAAGAAACTCTGAACGTTTTGTAGTGAGCTCCTCCAGAGTCAGCTGCTCTTCTCTGCTTTGAAGTTCAGATGCAAACAAAATTTATTGCAGCTGGTCAACTGTCTGACTCTAGAAGATTGTTTTGAAATTGTCTGTGTTCCAACATTTTTAATATATTTCCCTTCAACATTTTATATTATGAAAAAGCCACTTGTGATTTATTTAGTAGATAGAGTGAAGCAAATTAAACATTTAAGCCTTTTCAAGATGAATCTTGTGTAATTCAGTAAAAACTTATCAGCTGGATGACTGCAAAACAGTTTGCAGTGAACAGCTCGGGAGCAAAGATGCTTCCACAGATATGAAGCTGTTTAGTTTATAAATTGCTCAGGGCAATKATTGCATCCCTTTCAAGTCACTGCAAGAGGCAATGCAGCACTAGAGCAGCAAGTACAGCTGCTAAGCAGGAGACACAATATGTAAGCCTAAAAACTAGTTTTTTATCACACTGAGGTGTGATATTATTTTGTAAAACTTTAGAAGTCAGTTGGCTTTTAAAATTGAAGGAAAAAGTTTTCCACTTTAACAGGTATCTCARATTTTTTTTGTATTGAAACACAATAGAATTGGTTATTTGATAACTAAATAATGTGTAGCTGATKMYGCTATTTCTTTTTTACTTCTAAAAYACTWTTCTTAAAAATGAGAGTATGGCTGATTTTGTTTCATAGGGGAGCTCCAAAAATTCATGTAATGGAGATTATCCTGGTCAGAGGTTAYTGGAAAAAAMCASATGCAGACTTCAAGGTCAGCTTGCMGCAGCCACCTCTGTAAGATTTATTGAGATTAATCTGCCTGTTATGTGTCCAAGAAGGCTGGGCTGGAGACAGTGCTCAGAGTGGCCGTGAGAGCAAGAGGGTATGGTACAGAAAAACCTTTTTGTTCCCAAGACTGTCTTGAAGCTGGTGTTTGTGCTGGCTGCCTGCTGGGAGCCCTTGCTCTGTGCTGCAGTTGGTTCTGAGGCAGCCCTCAAGTCTCTCTCAGCAGTTTCCAATGCATAATACAGAAAAGTTGGTCCTACAAAMCTCAGTTTCAACTGAGTGCTGAAATAGCCATGCCAACATGTTTGTTAGTATAATTAGATCCTAATTAGTATTACAATTTGGTCTGCTTGCCATTTTCCTTCCAATGGGAAGCCAAATGCAGGAGGACATGGGTACACTTAACCTTGTTCCTGAACCAGTATTAGAAAGACTCATGAGTTGGTTCACTTTGTTCCAGTGAGGCAGTGAGTGCATTGCCTGCAGGATTGTGCCAAGTACCCCTTATGAAATCCTACGTGGGAGAACATGTTAGCAGTGCAGAGATCACTGAGGAGTAAAATTGCTGATTTTATACCTACTTTTATATCTGTGTGCAAATGGAATGCTCTACCTCACAGAAATTTTAAATTAATATTTTCTTGAGAGGCCATAGAGGCTGATTTAATACTGCATCTGATAAATGGGGGATTAGTAAGTGGAGAAAGAAGGCCATGGCTTTAAGGAATGATAATGGAGATTCTGACTGGTAGTAACCAGTCCTCCTTCAAGAAGGAAAACTCTTTATCCTTATTTTTCCTGCTGAGAGAAATGAAGTGCAGGACAATTTAACATAATGCAAGTATTTCACATGTAAGCGTTCTAAGAGGGAAATATGAAAGAGCCAGGAAGCACAGAAAATGTTTATATTTCTTGGTAACAAGCACTGCTATTTCTGAATCGTTTCTGTCTCAAATACAAAGAGCTCTGAGTCAGCACATTAAATTGATACAAGAATTATATGGATTCCTAATTCATTGCCATAAATCCCTTTTATGCTGCCAGATGTTTACATATAACACACTATACTCTGGATCTGTTGCTGCTTTCTTGTGGTTGGATCATGCAATTCCTGTTCARACTTCTTATTTCCTGTTAATACCATTGCAAATCTGAAAACTGTTTGGATTTGTCACCTTATTTCAGAAAATGTTCTTTTGCAGTAGCTCTTTTCAGATGTTTCAGATACAATTAAATGGGTGCTGTCTTTCATAATAACTAATATGTGTAATACTTTAGTAGGGACATAGGGATTATGAATTGTACTAGAGGGGAAATACGATTCAGTGATTTGATGAGTTTSATAGTACAATCTTAGAATTTTTTAACAATAATCTAGGAGGAGATGTAGATTCTCATTTAAATCTTGCTGTTCATGGTGATCTCAGAATCTGAATATAAAGTTCAGAAAGTTTTACAAAGTTTAGAAAGCTTTACAGAAAGTTTACAAATAGGAACAGTCTAAAAATACATATTTCTCTGTTACTGAATCATTTGAAGGGGACCTATTTTGCACAACTCTCTGAGCATCCGGTAGGAGAYAGTTCAGTTTTCCATGCTATCATTTTATAAATTGCTATTTCTGTAAGCAGACTTTTCCAAGTTAGTTTTTTCTTAGACAGAAAAGGACTATCTATAATTGTTTATTAATGTTCTGTTTACCARAACCTTCTTTCTTGGAAAAGGCTTTTGTTCAGTGACCACCATGCAGGTAACATGTAGGAGTAATCTGCATTTGACAAAGCTGCCTCTTTTGCCCTTGTTTCTGTTGRAGAAGAGAATTCAGAAACTGATGCCATAGCACAATCATATTTCTTGGGTTTCCTGAGCTGTTGTTACTCAAGAACAAAGGATGTCCTGCTCCATCAGGTTGTTGGGAGCCTCTCCAAAAGCTGGAATGCACAGGCCTTGCCTTCCAGCTGCATTCCCACTCTTACCAGTGGGTGTGTGGGGGGCCACAGTGTCTTAGAAGCACAGGGTTGGTGAAGAAAATTGATGCCAGCTTTCAAAAGCGAGGAAGCTAATTCAGGGAACAATTTCATCCAAGGTTAATGGAAGAACAGACCTCCAACACAGTATCAATTGGATCAAGCTTAAAGCAATCAGTTATGCCCTGGTAGCTATAACTCGGCCCAGGTCAGCCAGGCAGCACTGGTGATGTTTTACAACACTTTCTCAGTGGCTTTTATCAATAAGGAAGGAGAAACAAGTTTCTCAATTCCATTTCTAGAGTAATACTCTCTGTGCCCCGATGAAGGAAAGAAAAGCTTTTTCAGGAACTCYAAACAAAGAGTAGTTGTAGATTCTATTCCAGATAGTTTATAGGGGGAGCGAAATGAGCCATATATAATGATACGGGGGGACAGCTGAGTGTGGGTTTTCCCATAATGAGTGTGTGCAGCCAGGATCTCATGTCAGTTTTGAAGTGTGTGCTGCACTTATGTATTTTCTCCTTGTGTCCTTGGTCACAATGGTCTGTGTTTTGAGTTCTTGTTTCCAAAAGTTCAGCTTGTAAGACTGTTGGCCTTTTGAGGCTGTGAAACAAATGTCCGAGGAACTGCTGCAACTGTTGTGCTTTTTCCCCTTCCACTTCAGTCTGTGCAGTTGTACCAGTGCAGCTGCTTCTGGTGCTGCTGTAAATCAGATCAGCCAAACACTCCTTTCACTTTCTTTAATCTCATCCCTTAATTGAATACATGRTCTAAGTGTCTCTTARTACCAGTCCCTTAGAGTTTTAATTRYTGTTCCTGAATTACTTGCTTAAACACCCAACAGATCATTTAAAAAGAGATTGCAGGGAAGTTGGTGCCWCAGAGCTTCTTAGCTGGTGAGCTGTCCTGCTTTTCTGAACCTGCTCTGGAGTCCCRAGGCATCTAACTGGGCATGTGAAATCTGGTGAGTGGGAGCAGACATTACAGAACARCCCTGATCTATTTATCAAACTCCASTTGGGAGGGATCCTGTGCCATTCCAAGCTTCTATTGCTGGTAGAGATATCACCAGTCTTTTGGTGAGCAYTTTTGTTACATATTTTTTCTAAATATAGTGAAAACATACCAATTTGATAGAGTGTAATTGGATAATGTGGGAGATTTTGACAGGGATACGACTCTAAGGACAATTACAGTATTTATATCAAATACTTTGAACAAAAATGCYCTCAGGTAACACCTGTCTGTATTACCAGGGGTGTGGTTACAGGGCATCCCACTAAACAGGGGCTCATAATTGTGCTGGCAAGTACTCAATCTGGTCATGATAGCAGGGTATGTCAAGGAGACACTGGTGCTAGGCTTTAACTCAGTAGTGTTTGCAAGTAGTATGTGCCATGCAGTTGTTAAAAAAAGAAAAAGTTGGATTCAAGAAGCTCAGCAAAATGTTGAAGAGCACTAAATAGTGTTCATTATTTTAGTAGAATGAGACTGTTAAAATTTCAGTAGCTCATGCTGTAAAATTGCCTTTTTTGAGTTGCCTGCTTCTGACCAAGTTCTACCATTATTACAATTTTTAATATATCATAGCATGCTAAGTTCTAAAAATGGCATGTGTCATTTCAGGTTTGCCTGAGTCCATTATTGCAGCAGCTTGTGCCAGAAGTGGCCAGAGAGTTCTTCATGTGGATTCGTAAGTTACTCCAATAATTTCCCTTTTTAAGAGCTAAACTGACTAGAAGGGTTTTGTATCTCTGTCAGTGTGGGCTGCAGGACTTCTCCCTCTTTATCTGGCACCAAGTAATGTTATGATTCTGTCTCTGCCTTATTTTGGGGGTGTTATTTCCATCAGTAGAGCAGGCAGTTTTTGGAAGCTAGCTCAGGAATTCGGAGCATCAGTGCTGTGGTGAAGGATGCTGTGATCGCTCCTTCTTTGCTACAGGAAGGAATGGCTATAGGTTTAGTGCCCTTCATTCTCATTCCTGACACTAATTATCTCATTCTCTTTGATGAGAATGACTTGATTTATTTCAGATTTTTGGCCATCGAAGTCTGTAATAATATTGGCCACTGGAACTTTGTTTTTTGTTATCCATGCCTATTTTAGCTATGATGAATATCACCTTTTAACAATGTATATTGTTCCCTTTGTTAAGGATCAGAATTATGAATTCAGATTTTTCTCAGAGTATAAAGGAATGAGATTTGGGGTTACTGAAATGCCTGTGTTAGATGTGCCACATTGATTAATCTGTTGTTCCCTACAAAGGCCCRAGTTAGGTCAGGCACAAGGTATTGGAAACATATATGTGCATGAAGTCTTTGTTTATAGTTTACTTGYTCTCATTACCTTGTGTACCTTATTTTATTACTTTTAATCTGCAGCCATGTTTGCATTTATCATAATATACTGCATAGGTGATTATGGGAGATAGTTTTGAAGTGGCCTATTATAAAATACTGAGTTCTGAGTTTGATTTATAAACACTGTCCAAGCATTGCCATCAGCAGTAGCTAATCTTATTCAAAATAGTCACTTCACTGCAGTGTTGCCATAAATTGCTGTAGACTGATTTTAAACTGAAGTTAGCTTCTGCCAACTAGTAATTGAAGGAGCTCTATTTCTCTGTGCCAGCTATCTGTCTCAATAAACATAAAATCTGTGGTTCTTCTCAGAGAGCTACATTTACTGTAGATATTAATGAGCTGTTGACATGTGAAATCTCAAGGATATTTGTTAAATGATTTAGAAAAGTAATTTGCAATTTAAAATGTGGAGATTGGCACTTAGTTTAAACTTGAAACTGCTGGAGAAAGGTAGATCAAGACTACAAGTGGATTACTTGAAGTGAATATGCTTCTTGTACTAGTTGTTCCAATTTGCTCAAGTTTCTGCCTTTGGTCCTTGCTTTTTTGCCTCTTTTAATTCTRTATCTCTGTAGTTATGCACTGGTTTGGTTACTGAGGATGGGGCAACTAGGGGTGAGGTATGTTTAGCCACATTTTGTGTTTGATTTTCAATTTCACAAAATTTCATTTTGTGTTTGATTTGTAGGCTGCAGTTTTACTGTCTACATCCTTCCTCAGTGGCTTATTTATCTTTCCATATAGAATTTACTTCAAAGGCAAAGGAGGGTCAAGATGCAGAATTTTAACTTCTCTTCTGTGGGAAATAGAGCAAACTGAGCATGTCTTGCTTCTTGACACCTGTTATCTTTCTTATATTTTGACTATACTAGGCAAAAAAAATCTTAATTCTGGTACCTTTTGAGCTTTTTTGAAAARGTCTTTTTTCTGTTTATTTTGGTGTAGGGTACCTTTGCTGTGAGATTGTATTAGAGAGTAAAACATGGGCTCAGCTGGTCCATGGTAATTCCCTTTGCTCATGTTCACATGCCAGGATACAATGTGATGTAGCACAAGTGACTGCCACATCACCCACCCTTTTGTTGGACTGAAGGGTCTCAGGAGCTGTTTGGGTTRAACCCCTCCTCTTGGAAGGCCAGGAATCTCCTAAACACAAGCACTGGGCCAGAATGGGAATCTTTAATACATTTGCCTRTGTACTAATAGGTAGCACATGAAACTTCATGGGTTTGAAACATGAGTCATTTTGTGTTGAGATCCTTAAAATCGATGTGGCAGTAACTTCCTGTGCAAAAGACAGCTGCCCTGATGGGTCAGGACTTCTTTCTGGAAGATCAAATGCAGGACAGACACATTGAGGCAGCTCTTGGGGGAAATCATGAGGCATCAGCAGCTTCTGTCCAGCCAGCACCAGCTCTGARTGTTCCACTGTGGTGGTTGTGACATGGCCAAGGGAAGGGCCAGCTCCTGAACAGGCACAGGACAACAGAAATGCTTTTTCTGTTCTTACAAGTGTTTTAATTGTGTGTCTCCTGCTTTCAGAAGTTTCCAGTTCCTCAATTTGCAGTCTGTCTGCAGAGGGACACATTAAATATTCTCTTGGTTCAGATTCAGGTTGTTAATCAGTCAGAAACAATTTGTGATTTCAGTGTTCTGGATTGGAATTTGCCAATTACTTCAAAAATGGTCTTAGTAACTGAAGAAAAGAACCAAAAGCTAATGTAGGACAAGAGACAGGCTTTTTGCAGTAGTAAAATTGTACTTTGGCTATGTTTTCAAAACTTTGCAAAATGGCTTCGGCAGTATGCTGTTAGATSTGAACTACAGATTAGAGATTTGAAAAATGAGAAGGAATAGAARCAGTGTTGTCATTTAGGTGGAATCCACGTAACACAGGAGGAGTTTTGAGAAAATATGGTTTTGAAAATAATATGTGRTAGGGAAGGRAAACCTCTGTGCTCTAACTTSGTGTMAAAAATGTTTTCTRCCTCTGCTGTTGCACTTTCAAAATKATTCCTGTTCTTARTTARGGAATAATTGAATTATAACCCTAAAAAAGGGGAGAGAATATCCATCTTAGTAGTTTGCTAATATAGCCAGGGAAGAGGGGAGCTTAGGCCTTGAGATTTTGGGACAATATTTTAGCTTTAATTAGGCTTTGATCTTGACCATTGCTTTAWGGAATTCCTCAGTTCATCTTCAGGGCAATTACAACAAAAATATTTGGTTACAAAGGAGTCCTAATTGTAAAACCATTAGTCAGCTCTTCTCAGAATTCCTCTCCAAGACTTTTGCTATAAACTTTGCTCATTATGTCAGTAATCATGTCTGGTCTGTCTAGTTTCTSTAGTGTTTTCAGATGAAAGAATTAAGCAATCCTGATTCATCATGTAGTGCAGGGAAACTAATTAAAATTCCAGGATAAAAAAAATCTGAAAGTTGCTACTTGAGGAGAAGATGAATATTTGAGGTGGCATAACATGGCTTGGGAATGGTACACAGACACCAGAGGGAAGGAAGGAAGGACAGCTGTGGTTCATTTTCTTCTGGAAAAGGGCTGTACCATCTCCTCAGAATGGATGGAGCTCCACAGCAGGGTCATTCAGTGCTTGTTGAACACACTGGGTTGCCTCAACACTGGGTGAAAAAAGTCATTTCAAAGAAAAACTCACCTGATGAGCAATGTTCACATSAAAGATGTCTGACAGCTCACAAATAAACTTTTGTAACTTTCTGTAAAAATAACATTAATTTCTCTCACTGGAARTTCTAGCTTTAGACAGTCTAAATGTGCATTTAGATTTTTGTTTTCTGGGATTTCTGTGATCAGTGGCATTGCTTGCTCTGACAGCCATATATTGTATTCTGGATTCAAGAAACTTATGACCAGAGCAGCACAGTTCTGTAAAAATAAATTTCATGGTCATGGTTTTTGGAAATTCCAGAAGTGACAGATAATACGTGGATATTGAACTTTTTATTCTGTAGAATCTTAAGGAACATGAAGAAATTATCCTGCACCATTAGCAGCTAAAGCAAAGCTGGAGGTTATCWTTGCATGCAACTGTCAGTGATTGTTTTACAGATAGAAATCTCACAGAACTGGGCATTTCATAGATTTAAWCCTCATTGCCTTGTGTTCTGTGTGATCCCAAGCAGCAGTACCTTTGGAGCTCACCCACGTCAGTCACTCTGAAGTCAGGATGAACTCCTTGTTACAGAGGATGGCAATTCCTGGTTGGAAACCATCTGCAGATGGAGCTGTGCTGCTCAGAGTCACCAAAATTGCAGGGTGTGGGCCCAATCCCCCCAGTTTGGGACCTGGGAGACCACTTTCCATTTTGAAGCCACCTTTATTCAGCGAATGCCGTATTTTGTTGTCTTTGCAAAAGATGTCCTATTTCTGTTCTTCACTATTGCCTTGCAGGAGCTGAAAGACTTTTTTAGGTCAGTTTGTAGTCAGGAGCAATTAGGCACTGCTCAGCAGACATCTGTCCTTCATATGCTAAGTAAGCACCGTGGTCCAGAGCATCAGCCTCTGCTACTGGAGCGGGGCTGACACTCTTAATGAAGTCTTTGTCAGTGCAGATAAGCCCTGTCAAAAGCATCCCATCGTAAATCTAGTCAGGAGAATCTAACCTGAATTTAGCTTTTCACTTTTATCACACTGATCTCGACAATTTAAAAGTGGAGGAGGTTATGATAAGATTGATTTAACAGCCTTCACATTATTCTTTAAAATGCAAACCCTATCTTGCTCCCTACATTTTATTTTATTTTTTTAGTGTATGCAATGACATTAGCTATCTGTTCAGGAGGATATTTTTGGTATCTTTCAGGCTTCTGAAGTGCCAGTACACAGTGCCAGAAAACAGAGTTAAATCCTGGAATAACTTTTACTTTGCAAGAACTGGTGGTTTTTTGAAATGTAATTGCTCTATTATTTTTCTTCTCAGAGTTAAGTGTTTAAGATGTCCTATGCATGACAACAAAAGCCARCTAATACAACTGATGTTAGAGAAATATTGATAGAGAAATTTTTAAAAGAGAGAGCAGAGACTTTCTTTGGTTAAAAGCAGAACTAATAATTTTCTGTGATTTAAAAGCAGTAAATAATCTTTTTCAAGCAAGAAGGTGGTAAATAGAAACTGGGAACTGCTGAGGGAGGGATGMTCATGTAGCACAAATCAGCTCCTTTGGCTCCACCTGCAGTACATGCAGTTCAATAAGAATTTTGCCAGGGCATCTTCACAGTCTGTAATAAGCATAATATGTTGTGCAAGCAGTAGATAAACTGTACTTTCCTTTATTTGACATAATGCATAAGAGAGCCAAGAAGCAGTATTATCTCTATTTTCCTTTTCTTCACACTGTCCCATGTGTTTTTCTCAGCATCATCCATTTACCCTCCAAACACTTTGATTTTGGACTATATTCTCTTTGGTCAGAGATGCATACAGTGAGGAAGACACTTGCATTTCATTGAGAACTGTAAAATACTAATTTTTATCTGTTCTGCATCTGAAAAGTCTTGCCATGGAGAATTTTTTTAATGTATCTGACTTGGCTGTTTTTTCTTTAAATCTGGAGAAGCTGTGTTCTACCTGTCCAACAAGTTTTTCTTCTGTTCTTTCTTCACAGGAGAAATTACTATGGTGGAAACTGGGCCAGCTTTAGTTTTTCWGGATTATTGTCCTGGATTAAAGAAAATCAGGTAAAAATTTCCCAAATTGCTTCTTTTAGGCCTCCTTAACATTAAATCTCTGTTGTTTGCATGATTTATTRCAAGACAAATTACCACACTGCTTTTGCTCTTTGGTAATTTGACAGATCAAAGAGGTTTGTAGTTCCCAGCTTTACTGGTTGAGACTCACCCATCTGGCCTGGCAGTCGGAGGCTCTGATGTGCCTGGGTTGTTAATCTGATTGAGACCAGTCTGGTGCTCAGCCACACTTCTGGGTTCTTGAGCTTGAAGAGAAGCAACTACACTGTTGCTTCAGTTCCTTTACMTTCTGAAACTGATAATCTGGTCTTTTCCATCTCCTTTTTGATAATTTTCCACTCTCTGATGTATCAGCCCTTTTGTTTTTCTCATTTRCATTCAGTTGATTCTTTACTGGGAGAAAGGTGGGTGCAGAATCCTTCCACTGAAATGTCCCATAACCAGGACAAAAAGATGATTGTTCATAGCTTATTTTTTAATGACTGAAGTTTATCTAATTTATGACAATCCACTAGAAATCTTTCAGGGAGGATATTTATTTAGGAGATGGATCACTTGGGCTGGGTTAGCAAATGGCTGCTCTGTTATTTACAGAAGTGCTCAGAGCCTGTTGGGCCGTAGAAGATGGAAGTTTCTCAGCTCTGTCTCAGGCCTGTTTTTTACACTGTGCTGCCTCCTGGCATAATCAGGGGACTTGCTCATGCCAGGGCTTCATATTATGTGGGTTCTGTTACATGGTTTAGAGATTCCTATGTGCACAGATTAATACAATCCCCCAAATCACCAGGCTTTTCTATATGGTCTCCATTCAAAGAGTTTTGTCACAAAATCTTGAACTAACCTGGCTGTGGCAAACCTGTCTTTTAGGAGATTGTATTCAAAGTTACATTCAAYTCTCTACTAAAGTCTCTATTTCATTTAACACTGTATTTCAGATTACTAGAGCCAATGGTGTAGTACAAATGTTGGCATGCTGTAATGAAGTAACCAGCTCTGTTTAAATTCAAAATATATTAATAGAAAAGAAAACACTAGGACAGTTGTTATTTTTTCATATAATATTAGGTGGTACAAATTATTTATGGCTACAGAGATTTATAGTTCAAGAACAGCTTGCATGGTACAGTATGTAATTTTATACTTGTTCTTTGTTAGCAAAAGACAGATCTCARTGATGAATGTGAAGACTGGAGGAAACTGATCCTTGAGAATGAAGAAGCTATTCCTCTCAGCAACAAGGATAAAACTATTCAACATGTAGAAGATTTCTGTTTTGGCGAGTAAGTAGAAATGTAGAAATACTTGAATCAATTCATGTGCCTAGAAGTAAATGGACATATTGTGCTTTTGGTTTAAAKGGTTTCACCATGCTGCCATATTGCACATTAGCTCAGAAAGTAACCATGGCCTCTGAAATGTTCTTCATGTCCCTGTGCTTTGTTGAAATTACTCCATTCACTGAACCAGCCTGGTCCTTCCTAAATGACCCTTTCTGGATGCAGTGTAATTTGTTGGCCAACTTGTGAGCTGGTGATTTACTTTTGAGTAGAAAACAGAAGTGTTTGTACACAGTTGTAGTAGTAGGCAGTTGTGCACTGCCATCTGTTAAATTTTTCCATTCTTAATTTGGCTAAAAGGTGCTGTTCTCGTAATCAAAAATTAAACTCCTAAATACATGTTAAATGAACTACATAGAAAAGAACAGGAGCACAAATGGACAGGAGTACTGTAATAAATACTTCATTGTGCTAAAATGATAGAGCAATATTTCCCCTTTATCCTATTTATATGCAATGAATTTAACCTACTGAAGTTAAATCCACGGAATGTAAATTTAACTAACTGAACTATGTATTTATTTATTATTTTTATCTTTTGGATTTTGCACTGAAATGAGCACTTTGCAGAATTCCTGAGAGATTCTTTGAGATAGTTATGTAAGTTTAACCTTGAATCCCTTAGAAAATACCACAGGTAGCTAAATGAAATGCTGACACATACKTGTCTGGAAATACATATTTTTTTCTCTAAACCTCATAAGTAGGGGGAAAAAAGGTGTGAATTACACAAATACAATCTGAAGGTCACAGACTGAGACTCTTCCAAGGTTCAGTGCTGCACAGTAACAGTGCTTGACTGAGTTGCAGGTAAAATGTAGTCCATGTTTTAAAGCAATAGCACTTGAATATTGTAATTGTCATCCTGTTGTCATAATAAATATTATGTCAGAACCAGGATTRAATGAGATGGAAAGGTTTCATATTCTCTTAACTTTGTGTTGCTTTTTGATGGATAGCTGGCTCCCAAATGAGTCCCCTAGCACTGAGATTTCACACATTACAGTGAGATTACACTTAGATAAAATTATGCTTTTAAGCATTTAACTTAGCTCAGTGTAGTGCTATCTGTCTTGGTCACCACCAAAAAAAAMCCCAATCCCACAAAAAACAATGATAAGATTAATAAACCTGGCAAAGAAAAAGTTCTCCAAAAGAACTTCARACTTTCTGAGAGAGTCCATTACCATGTTTCTGACAATTTATGTGTTCTGCCTAGATTCTGTTGTTTTTGCTTAACTTTTGTAACTCCTATGAAGTAACCATTAAACATTTATTTTGAAAGAATAAACAGCTGGGTAGCAGTATAACATACACAGTGCAAATCTGAAATGAATGGCCTTAGAACAAAGTGCATCCATCAAAGGGAGAGAATACTGTGTCTACAACAAGCTGTATTGAAAAAAGGCAAATGGCTGAAAAATAAATAGTGAACACCTGTGCTGAATAAATTAACCAGCTGGTTGGCAATTTTTCATTTGACCTATCTGAAGGGGTTGCTGTTACAAGGCATTAATAAGACACATTCATTTTAAGATATTCCTTTGTTAGTACCATTAATTGATGAATGGTRGAAGATAATATTCTAAATTTACACAACAATTTGTCTGCAGATGTATTATTTTTTTCTGAATTAGGAGAAGAATTGTCTGTACAGAAGTTCAATTTGAGTCATTTTTATAGACAGTTCTTACATTATTCAGGGATATTTGGTCATATAGGAAGGATGTCATGAATTTAGATTATATACAATTTTAGGCTTTCATTATAAAAAGTGTGGAGCTGCAAACAATGGAGATTTACATATTCTTTAATGGGAAATGAATAGAGATTTAAAATATGTAAATATTTTTGTTGCACTGCTTTTCAGAGTGATGTAGAAAAATACAGTGTATTATGAATCCAGGCTTATTTTTGTTTAAAAGGTAATAATCAAGTATGTTTGAAATGAGATGAACTGTTCATTGAAATTGAGAGGAGGTAGACAGAAAACTTTATTCTGAAATTTTATGTTCTGAAAAGCTTTAGGATGARTTAAATAAAAGCTTCATTCTTAGTTACTGCAATAATGGCTAGAGCTTTTGTAGTTTTCACAAACACCGTGTTCCAAAATCTAAATAGAACCCCAACATTTATTTGACTTTGATTTTTATTTGTAGCAGAGGTTACTTTTTTACAAAAACATTTGACAAAGTAGTTGTCTTTCCTTGATATTTTATAGTTACTTAATGCTGGCAATATGTAGCAAAAAGACTTAATTAATGTACAGAAACAGCCTTCTCTCATTAGTGCTTCCTTGTAGCAGTTCCTGTATTTCCCAGGGCAATATTTTACCCCAGTCAAGAGTTAAGTGCTTCCTGGTGACTGTGCCCAAGCTGAGAGATTGCTTCCAAACTTTTCACAAGTCCATATGAGCTCCTTGAGTTCATARATGAAGAGCAATTTTTAAAGGATACCAGGTTTTTGTTCCTTTTTGAACAGAAATCCTACTTCCATATGAAAGGCTGCAGGTGTGCGAGGGAGCATTTTGGTATGGATGCTGAGTAATTCCTTACTGTTCTGGGAATTTTAACCACCCTCTTAGTACTCTGTGTTTGCAGGTCACCTTTAAAATCATAGTTCATTAGTTTTCAGCCAAGATGWAATTGTTTATTCAGTGCATTAATGGCGTGTGGTATAAAGATAAAAAGATAGTCTGGAGTTACTGCTGAACTCCTTTCACTTACAATGACACTGATTTGATTCATCTCAGCTGGTAGTGTAAACTCAACCAAGTTCAAAAGTCCTGGTTTCTAAGGTAGATGTCATTGAAGTTCAACATAAAATGAGAAGATGAGATTGAATGTGGAGGGCTGCTTTATAAGGGGAATTTTAAAGAAATGTTGTGGAGAGGAAATGGGCTGTGCAGAGTAAATGCTGTGTGGGAATGTCCCTCCTGTGGCTGGCTGCCTTCATTCCTTGTGCATGGCTCCTTTGGAGCCCTTGCATAAAAACAACATTGCTGCTCAAACAACTAAATTAGAATGCAGAGTTGAAAAAGGAATTGGAAGTTTTACTTAAGCTTTGGATCAAAGTGGTCTGGTGGAAAGCTTGTCTGTTTTCTTCGGCGCAATATCTCACCTTAATGACCTTGCATTTCAGTTTCTTGGGTTTTATTTATTTTTTTTTTTGTTTCAAAATACTATGTTTCTATTGTTTCTGTAGCTGTGTATTATTTCACCATGAGGGCCTCAATTTTAATTTTGAGATCCTTCCATCTTTTGAGTACATGTAAAGTAAAAACCCAGATTTTTGTTGGGGTTTTTCTTCTTCTCAGTAAAAATAGCCCTCTTGAATTACAGCTTTGCAGCCCAAGAGCCAGAGTTTGTTAGTGGGTGGAGCACCTGATTTGGCCAGGATAAAGAAATTCTAATGCTTTTCCTAGAAATGCTTGATGTTTCTGTTCTGGCACCGACTCAAAACTTCAAACAAGTTTTTAAGACTCTTCAAAAAGACTTTTTCCCCYTYTTTTTCCCCTCTGTGTTTTTAATCAGTCAGGATTCAGCTGAAGGTGTTGAAGAAGCTGGTGCACTGCCAAAGCTGCCTGTGTTTGGAGCCCCTGCTGCCGAGGGGGTTTCTGTGGGGTCAGAGGAGAGTCCAGCAGAAGAGGGGGTTTCTCCAGGATCTGAGGAGAGTCCAGCAGAAGAGGGGGTTTCTCCAGGATCAGAGGAGAGTCCAGCAACAGAGATCCCTGTACCAGAGTCAGCAGAGGAGGCCCTGGGCACTGAGCCAGCGAGGGCAGAACCAGGGGATGGGGCAGAACCAGCCCCTGGTAGTGGAACCTCTCCCAGCACCAACTCAGCCGAGTCAGCTCCTGAACCTGGAACAGCAGAAGCTGCACCCTCCGAAAGCRCTGCCCAAGAACCAAAGAAAATCACCTACTCCCAAATTGTTAGAGAAGGCAGAAGGTTTAATATTGATTTAGTTTCCAAGGTAGGAACTGAATGGCTCTTTTTGTGTAAGTATATTTACTTTGCTTAAAATGATGACATTTGTGTTAAAACCTTTCATGTTGAGGAGGGTGAGACAGTGCCTTTGAGGCAAAATAGACACTTTTGAGAAGTARGAATTGTTACCCCTAAAACAAACATGGGCTATTTAATGTGTCTGTAAGTGTTTTATAACCAAGGAGATCAAAAAACGGAGCTCAGAAATATCACCATAAAAGTAAATTTTATGAAATTTGGCACTTAGGTAATACCTGCAAAWTCTCTCCTTTTAAATAGTACCATTAAAAAATTATATTTTTAAACAAGAAAAAGCAATTTGCATGTAGATTTTTTTCTCTTTTTAAAATATATGTGCTTTGCTTTGCAGGGAAGGCTTTTCAAAGCTTTCATATTTCTGCCTAAAAAGATTTTTCAGACCTCTAGAAACTGGAAAAGAAAGTTTCTTCAATAATTCATTCAATTCTTTGTGAAGCCACTACAAAATGTATTATTGCAAATTTCGTGTTCCAAATGTCAATCCCACTTCCAACCATCACTGAACACCAGTCAGTGGGTCGTGGTTAAGCAGATAATACTATTTTGTGTCATTTTTATCCTCTTGCTGTCCCTCTGTGTGACATGGTGTTAATTGCAGCAAATTCCAGAAATTCAGACACGAGTGGTCAGCAGGATTTGGTGCTGGGGTTTCCCTGGCATGGGAATGTCGGCTTCCTTGTAGTGTCTTCATTGGTGTCCCAGGAAACCTTTATCCAGAAAATTCCTGTGGTCTTGCAAAGCCTGTTCCTCAGGACCACAAGACTTTTGAATACAGACAAACGTTTTCAGCTCATGGTTACATTTCTGTCCCTTCTGTAGCTTTTAGAAAGATTAAATTGTTTATGACTAAACGTTAACTGGGGGGGTCACAATATTTACTTGTGGAAAAGATGACTCTGGGTTCAGGTGATTTGGGGAGCAGTTGGTGAGGATTTACACCAACAGTGTTGGCTCCTGAAGATCCTCTTCACCCACTGTTTCCTTTCTCTCCCTTGCAGTTGCTTTACTCCCGGGGCCTGTTAATTGACCTTCTCATTAAGTCCAACGTGAGCAGATACGCAGAGTTCAAAAACGCCACGCGAGTTCTTGCCTTCCGAGAAGGAAAAGTAGAACAGGTACCAGAAAATCATGTGTTCCATGTGTTTGATCTCATCTTCTTAAAGTCAGGAAGCTTGAAATTGTTTTTATGAGAATTTTGTAATAAGAAGCTGGTGTTTTTCCTTAATTATTATTTTAATTTGACTTCTGGAAGAAAATGTGKTTTATGTGTTATATATCAATACTAAAAAAAATCCAAACAAGCTAAAATAAGGTTGTGCAGTCTAGTATATTGACATAAATCTTTATCTCAAGCTAAATGAGGTAAAGCTGCCATGATTGATTGGCAGTTAATTCTTAGATTCACAGGTTTTAGATTCTAAGTCTCACATAGACTTGATTTGTCTCCGTGCTACTTACAAGTCAGTGTGATAATGCCAACAGGAGATACTGGCACAGTCTATATAAACTCTGTTGATTAACTGTGTAGAGATGCAAGTGAAATTGAAGGGAAGTGAAAAGGGGAAGAGGCTGAAAAAGATTTAAAAATACTGGGGAAAATCGGTGACCTTTATTAGGTTATAATAGAAAATAAGGGAAAGAAATACATAARAAAATAAACATAGTAGAAAGAGGTAATTTAAAGTATTTGTTATGTAATCTTGTTGCTTGATGCTTTCATATTCAGAATATGGAAAATATCTGAAATTATTAAAAAATATTGTGCAGGTGCCTTGTTCTAGAGCAGATGTCTTCAACAGCAGACAGCTCACCATGGTGGAGAAGAGAATGCTCATGAAATTTCTGACGTTTTGTTTGGACTATGAACAGCACCCTGAGGAATACCAAGGTAGGGTCTCATTGAACAGGGCACACTCCCCCCCCCTAGGAGATGCTTCAGGGAGGCACAGTTTTGAGAGCTCTCCTGTGTTTTACATGGATTCTTTCTATGGATATATTTTTAAAGTATGCTTTGACCTTTTTGTGACCTTTTCACTTCGGTGTTAAATTCTTCTGCTTAAGCACTTGCTCTTCTAGTTCCCACATCATTTATTATTTACATTTTTCTTTAACAGCAAAATTATATATTACTGCAAGGTTGCAAAATGCTTTTTATCATTTTTAAGTGTTTTCTCCCTCCTCCCAGGTATTTTTGAAAATAATGTGATGTATCTGAGTTTCTGCTCGTTGGATACTGTGTAAATCTTTACAATACATTACCACAAAATCAGAAATTGAGAAAATAGAGTTTTTTAATTTGGAAAGTAAAAGTGATTTAATGCTCTTCAGTTGTAGAGGGCAAGTTCAAAGTGCTTTTATCAACTGCTGGCTTACTYAGATGAGAGGAAATCAGAACAGATTTGAGCTATAATGTGCGAAGAATAAYGAGCATCAGGTCAAAGAGAGAAATCACCTTAACAGCAGGAAGGTGCTTTGGGTTTGTGCTCCTCAGGGTGCAAAGAATGAAGTGATGTCCTCAGTTCTTGGAGTCTCAAAGTGAACTAAAGCAAAGAAAAAAAATCGTCAAAAAGAAATAGTGAGGAAATAGGAGTAGTTTAAGCATTGACATAAGTTGCAGACCAAAGTGTGTCAGTGCTTTTGGAGCTTGGCAGGAGCTTGACCAGGCAGTGTTTCTGCAAGGATCCACTGTTGTTGGGATACTGCTTTGATTGCTTAMACAACACTTGATTAGGTACTAAGATTAGAGAAAGTTATTTTAAATATGTTCAAGAGAAAAATAATCAGTATCAAGATCTGGTGAGATGAAGAAAAGGAGAGTCTGTAATGAACTCCAGAAAATCCTGAAGGGGGAAAAACTCATTAGACTGAAGTGGTTTATTGATTACAGGTGATCTCAGTTTGCTGTTGCTAGAAGAAATGGAGGTACTCAGAGTGGATAGAGGTGGTATTTAGAAAATTTATTAAGTAAAAGAAGGAGACGCCACATCAATTTTAAATGAATCCATTGATTCATGTACCTAAATAACGTTAGATTTATTTTACTTCCAKAGACAGTTAAACAGATTTTGTTCCTACATTTTAAAATAGCCTGARAAGTAATTGAGAATATTTTGAGTCAGATTAGGCTAATGTAAAAACTTCAGAAATTTAAAATTGCTCTCGATGAGATCATTGAATTCGTGGGAAGGCAGACTTTTAATAGGGAGAGTTCATGAGAGTGAAGAATTTTTTCTAAAGCTTTTTTCTGTAAAATATGGAATTATATAAGAAGTTTGAAGTGAGGAAAACTTGAGAATTTTTTTAGAATGATAAAACAAAAAAAAACCCTGTCATTTTATGACTTTCTCCATGGCTGTGCAAACAGCAGTAAGATACATTTGTAATAAAGCAGTGATTGAATCTTGAACAGAATATATAGCTCGATAATACTGGTCTCTGCACTGATGGAAGTGTTTCTGAATTAGTTAGGCATTTATCCAGGAAAGAAGCTTAAGAGCAGATTTCTCTATAGTATCCTGGAATTATGCTATTGCTTAAATACAGTCTTTTCCTGGCCAAAAATGTTTTCGTTATGAAGATAACTAAAGTTTTTCAGAGATGCATCAGTGCCAACATGCTTTAAACATCTCCTAGAAGACTTGTGTTTCTTTGAATTTCCAAATGTGTCAGCAGTAATATTATTTTCAAGGGAAGATAAAGTCCTTCATCCCTGTCTGCTCTCTGTCTCATCCACATTTGTTTGTTGCCAGCAAGTAATCAAATTTAAGTAAATATTGCACCTTCTCATCTTTGGGTTGTGACACTGTGTGAGTGGCTTCTCTGTGCATAAATATCCAGTCTARCACTGTCAGTGTGGATCCAGCAGTCCTGTTCTGGAGTGGGTGTCATTCAGGTGTAATACTTGGGTAATTTAGAGGAAACAGCCTCCCAAGGCGCTGTGGATTTTTGTCCACACTTTCTCACTTTTCTATCAGCATTGGGAAATGGAGCTAGATCAAGTTCAACCAAATGAATGGGTGAAGTCATTCAAGACCCATGAAGTCGGTGATGTTCTGAAATATTTTAATGGCATGGAATTTCTGTCTTCTGAGAAAACTCACTTTGTGGGAATGATTTTTCTAATTTGCATTGACTCAGATGATCCATTTTCAGCTAGATGTTTGTGAAAAGCTGCTTTTGTTAACTGAAATCCAAAAGCACTCTGTAGCAGAAGCACAGGAGACAATGCAGGTGTTACAGTGTGCTCAGTGCCTCGATGTGCTTTTTCCTCAGACTACGAGAGCAGCACATTTGCTCAGTTCCTACAGACACGGAAGTTGACCCCCAGCTTGCAGCACTTCATCCTTCACTCCATTGCAATGGTTTCAGAGACTGAGAGCAGCACTYTGGAAGGTCTTCAGGCAACAAAAAAATTCCTGCAGTGCCTTGGCCGCTATGGCAACACCCCGTTTTTGTTYCCTCTGTATGGGCAAGGAGAGATCCCACAGTGCTTCTGCAGGTAAGCCTCACTCACCCAGACATATTTCCCAAAAGGAAACCCTTGSTAATGTAAGAGGTATGGTTCAATAGGATAATAATTTGCAACATTTTTTTATTGTATTACAAATGCAGCTTGAWGTAGCTGGTGGCTGTGGTGGCTGCCTGTGATAGTAAGTTAATAAGTGCTGGGGAAATGAGAAGGCCATAATTTAATCTATATGTAGCTTTTTAAATCTGATAGAGGAGACTTAGATATCTGTCCAAAAGGAAGACTATGCATTTGGGTGGGTTGAAAAAAGTTTGAGTCTTCCCTGAAGTTGCAGGAAGATCCATGTTGTCAATTTGTGCTAATTAATGCTGAGAATCCATCTGCYATTATTCACAGGTAGATGTTTAATAATGAACTGGATTTTTCTGAAAGAGGAAAATGGTGACGTGTGTCCAGTTTACAATTAGATTTACAACAAAACCTTCTTCTTTTATCTTTCACCGTCACAAACTTACATAAACAGGGCAATTGATGTGAAGTCACATATTTTCAYATCATTTTGTAGCTCTYTAGAGCACRAGGTTCCAATTGCTATGAATTGAACAGCAGAGAAGATCCCATGCAGCCCTGTTTCACTGAGCCACTTCTACATTCTGACATCTCAAACAGCAGCCATATGTTCCCCACTCCTTGAGCCTTAGAAAGTAATTAAAACAAAAAAAAGCCCAGTTGATTCCAAGATAAAACARGATCCACTTCAGCTCCTTTCCTTGGACTGTGGGCAGTGACAGTGGCCTTACCCTGTCTCCTGAGGTGTCCCTGGGACCGTGGCAGAAGAGCTGGTGCTCAGTGCTTTTGGGGATCAGAAAGGATTCGTGTGCAGGGGGTGGGAGGTTTTAATTTCAGTTGTTTCCAACAGTTCAACTGCCTTTTAAAAGGCTGAGGGKTTTTTTTCATCTTTGCTTTTGCTGGCAAGCAGCCTTCCCATCTGCTCACTGTGGGTTTAATGTGGTAACCTGTAGGTCTGAAGTAAACATTAGCTCTGTTTAAAAAAAGCAGCCTTGCCTGGTGAGGCCAGTTTGTCTGAGTGATATATTTGTACCTCAGTCCTTTAAATAGCAGTGCAGGGTCTTACCTGTTTTGTTTGGTGCTGGACAAGTTCTGCTTTTTACTTGTGTGCTACTATGAAATTGTGGTTTACAGCACGTTGTTGGGCATTCTCTTCCTGTCTTGTCTCTGTGATAGATTCTGTTTCTCTTCTTTGGAACAGTACTAAAGTTGCTGCCAGAAAAACGGCCTTAGCAGCTTGAGCCTGCTTGGGTCTTTATGGGGTGAATGCAGTTACATGTTGATAGAAACATTCTGGAATAATTGTGCTCCATTCAGTAGAAATGTTATTTGGTACCGTCTTTTGTCAATAGCCTTATCTGGTCTTTAAACTGTATTCATATGCTGATTTTTAAGAAGTACAGACCTACATAATTAATACAGACAATTTGTGAACAAGAATTAATTTTAGGTAACCACTCTGGATACAGTCATGCAGCACAACTTGTGTTTGTAGATTTTATGGAAATCTTTATGTCTTTATAGAGCGTCATGTGAGGCCAGGTAGCTGTATGTGACCAGCAGATTAATAAATCAAAATTTTATCAGAGCCATTTGTAATCACAGTTCGACCTTCCTTGGCTTCAGATACCCAGGGGAAAAAAGTAAACCCCATAATTAAAATTAGAATTTTGCTTGCCTTTTTTCCCCTGTAAGTTCTTATCCATATACATTTTCTTGCATTTATTGAAATCTCTTTGACTTTGTTTTTTTATTTAATGACCAGCACATGCAGTTTTCTGATCTGTGACAGCAGTATATTTCAAGAGTTAGCAGTAGAGGTGTCTAGGAGTATTATAAATATTCTTACCAGAAAATCATTCCGTGATGACAGGAGTTCTTCACATGGCTTGATCTTTCTATTTAAGATCATTGATTGCTGCATTTTAGGGTTTTTTTTGCTAAAATATATAAGTCCTACAAAGAGGGTATTTTAATAGTTGAAGGAAATCATTCTGTCAAACCAAGAAGTAATTGTACTTTTTAAAGGTTTGTATTACATGCATTTGAATACAAAACTTTTTAAGAAATTGTCCTTTTTTTAAGTGAACAATTTAGGAGGCAATCACAACATTTTTTGAGATTAATCACAATTTTTATAGGTGTTCTGCCCTCAGGATCTTGTCTTGCTCAAAGTGAGCCATATCCAAAGAATCCTGCTGAGGCTGGGGAGTAAAGAGGCAATGCCAGAGCCTATAGATCACAGCCTACAGCTTTTATCACCAGCTTATCAGAGGAAGGTGTCACCTGGCCTGTGATTTCTAACCACTGTTCTATATTCTGTTTTAATGTAAACCTCTTAAGCGTTTCTTGCAGCCAGTTACACTGTGTGTTCTCATCAAGGCTACTGTTATAAATGGCACACATGCATATTGATGGGAATGAGTCAAAGACATTTGTAAGTCACATCCCTGCATCCCAAATGAATGCTGCATAAACACTCCAACCTTTTATAACTGCTGACGACACTCGAGTGAGCAAAAGCGCTCTTCCTTCTTTATTGGTTTAAGCAGGGATGGTTTAGGAGAGAAAATTAAACTTTTATATCACTGTAATGTACATCCCAATATGTTGAGGTGCAGATGTGAGGTTTCTGTCTCCATAAATTGGAGTCGTGGAACAAGGAAGGTCATTGGAAGACTTTTGCTCTCCCAAGCTGACAAGCAGCAAAACTTCACTGGCCTTTAACAGCTTCCTTTGGTTCCTTGGTACAAAACTGTTCTGCTTCTTCCTTTCTACTGATGTAGCAAGAGTCTGATATTCAGTGAAAATGAATATAGTAATATCTCATTCTTGGGGAAAATCCAAACAAGCCTTTRCATCTGATACTGTGTTTGCTCTGGGAACACACTGAATTTGGAGCAGATTGGGCAGGGTTTCTCTTCAGTCTGGTTTCAAATTCTTTTCTCTGGACTGTTGTAAATATGAACATGCAAATGGAAATGATTTTTTGAGAAGCAGTATTTTTTCCCCATGTGGAGTTTTGGAGGAAATTGGTGACTGTCCACTCTCTGTGAAGTCAGAAAGGTTCTAAGGGTGAAYATTGTGTCTCTTGTTTCTCTGTTAAGAGTTATTAAAAAACTGACAGATCTGGGTGGTACCAGGTGCTGGAATGTCCTCATCTGTTTGATAGATGAATTGGTGATTCCCTGSCTTTTTTGGGGTAGTTGGTTAATGATTTGAGACTTCAAACTTTTCCACTGTGTATTCGKTGGGTGGTTTCACCCTTTGTAGTAGTTCCTACAGATTCTGCCTGAAATTGTAATTTTTGTCWCAGTGCCAGTGACAGCAGTAATTTKGTGATGGAGGAAAGATCYGATTAAGACAGTTCCATCTCTTTCAGTTCCCATATTTACAGGAAGATTAAGAGGCCAGGCTGAGATAAGATGGATAGTGTGATTGATTCCGAGGGTTCCTGTATATATTTAAAAATGAATAATCAGTTTTACCCTTACATGTGCACTATTATCTGCTGCAAATGTCAGAGCTTCTGGGGTAGCGTCAGGTTCTTTAAAATTCCCAATTATGTACCTGTTACAAGGTTTTAGTTGTCTGAAGTCAAGCCTGGACTTCAGGAAACCTCACTGCAGCACCATCTTTTTCAGCTAAATCTATACATGAGTATCATGTCTCTATATGTAAGCAAGATGCAGAACTTTTCTGTGTGTGAATTGTATGATTTAGCATATTAATGAGAGATYCAAACAATACCAATTCCTGGTGACAGTCGCATGTGACAGATTTGAGTCTTAGCACGTGTGCAATTCTGTGCAAGTGTGAAACAATCACAGATGATTTWAAAAAAAAACCTAGTGAGATATTAGTTCAGCCCTCCATTTCAAAATACYTAATTTTCATATTTATCTCTTATCACTAATTGGACTAGAAGATGTAAATTGGAATTATTGACAACGTGACACTATTCTTTGGGTTGTATTAAAATATTGAACAGTACAAGTAGCTGCAGTGCTGCTTTCCTCTTAATTGTTTTYACTTGCATTTCAGAGAAATAATAAAACTTCCAATGTAGTTTGGCCTTTAAAGACAAACTTGATATAGTTCTCCTCACTTTGCTGGCAGATGAATGCAAAATGGACAAGCATAGTTAGCAGGATTGTTTGTAGGATAGGTTGTTTGTTTTTCCCTCTAAGGAGAACTCTTTCTTGGGATAAACATAAGGGAAGTGAGATAATCCATCATTCTGAGACCTGTTCACTAGTGATGGATGGATAGATTGGTAAAGTAACTCAATAATCTTCATTTTTTTCAGGTTATTCACAGATCAGTGAGCCTTGTCGTTAATACAGCTATGGAATGCTTTTGTGTCCTTGCCCACATTATTTCTCAGAATTTGACAGGAAAAGACTTYTAATTTGGAAATAACCTTTGTTGTGAAATGCATTAAGTGGATGAAACTTGGAAAATACCTTCCCATTTTAGATTTTATCTTCTCAGTGAGTGTTTGTCAATTCTTTGTTTAAAAARTTGCATACAAATATGAGAGCTTTCCTGCTCTTTATTTCTGACTAGCAATTGTATTCTGCAGGAGTTTATACCTCATGAAGGCCTTCAGCCATTAGAATATATCACATGGGATGCTCTGAATCATGTGGATGTTGTCAAAGTTATTGATTTCACATYCCTAACTAGGCATGGAAAAGTTTTCAGTCAAGAAATCGTATTGAGGGGTTGGACTTATATTGTCCTGCTCTCATTCTTGATCATCTTGGTTCATTTTAAAAACATATTTGGAACCTAAAAGCACAAAATACAAAATGCTATTGTATGGTGTTTTTTTCAGGGTTTAATAATTAGGGTAATGGTGATAATAGAAGGGAAATGTGTTTTAATACATCATTTGGTATTGCCTCTTAGCAGTACCTCAACAAGAAAATTCCTCCCTGGTTGTGTTGGGCTGTGCAGATTCTGCCTTACAAGGTCTTCCTGAGAGTTATGACTCAGACACATGAATATGTTGCAGCATTATCAGGAGACCTGTGGAAATGACATGATTGTTTATTATTGGGGCAGATCTGAGATCTGAAAGGCAAATTTCATTTAGCAGAGTCCTTTTTCATTAAACCAGAAGACACAGAAAGGTAGCTTCCAAAACATGACAGAATTAGTAAAATAGCCCTTGAATTTCATTGAGGGTTAGGATAACTGGAATTTTTATGTCTTTTCTGGAGGCAGAGAACACATAAATGGRTTTTAGAGATGAGCTAATGCTTAGTGACTGGTTCCCAGTGCCTGGATTTTGTGCCTTGCCCTGCAGTCCTGTTCTCCCAAGCTTCTCTGGGAGGGCAGAGCTGTTGTGTAATTGTGGCTGGGTGACCTTGGGYGAGGAGCAGCTGCTTCTTCAACAAAGTCAGTGGAGTTCAGAGCCAGGCAGGTCCCATCCTTCCAGATCCCCCAGAGAGGAGCCCTGGGAGTGCTTTTGCACTTTCCTGCCATCACAGAGCACAAAGACAACTGCGCTCTTATTTCTTTTTTGTTCCTTCTCCAGCTCTGTGACAATTTCTTACAATTCCCACAATGCTTTGACCATAATTTCCAGGCCACTTGACCACGTTGCCTGATGGATTCTTACCCAACTTCCATATAAATCACTTGTTTCTTGAGCTTAGAATCCCAGAGAATGATACTTTATCTTGATCACTAAGAAGTATTGTTAATTGCAATATCCTTGAAAAAATCGGGTTAATAATGTGGTTAATTTTAAGAAACAGCACCTCTATATTGTGATTATGAATGTTCAGTCTTTACAAAACTTCATGGCTCTGGAACAACTTAATTTAGACTTAATCTCAAATACTTCAAATTTTGCTTTTTTGTTGACATTAGCCTCACAWTTTATCGTGTTAGTCATTATCTTTGAGCAGTGTCTGGATTTACTTTGCAGCTTCTGGAAATACAATTRATTCTCAAAGACAGCTCATTAATGCTCTTTTTTACTCTGTGTGTAAAAACAAATATAAAGAGGACAATGCGTTATTTTAGCACTTGCTGTGTTTTTCTTTGCTCTTTCTCCAGAGTACTGTGCTGTACATGCAGTATTCAGCTTTAAGGAGTGAAGCAAGTAGTTTTTACTGTAGAAAAAATGTGCTAAAAAATAGTCCATTTTTGTAATTAAACAGGACATGATGCATTTTAGAAAGTAGAAGACAAATTACATGCTAGAAATAAAAGCTAGTTTTTGATATAAAATAATGTGATACAGTTTTAAAATTCTTCTGTGTCGTTTTTTATGTAGTTTCAGAGTGAACTAAGGCTGTAATGTGAGTGTGTTTGTGGTATCTCTGTGCTGGGAATCGAGATGTCAAATGGAGAGACATTCTATTTTTGTTTAATTAATATCACAGAGCATTACATCAAAGCAGTAAACTCCTCTTGTATCAACAGATGCAGCAACCCTGAAGCCTATTTTCTCTCTTGTTACATTAGTGTTTAATTAAAGAAAACAACTAGTTGGAGGCAGTTACTTTCTGAAATGTAATGAAGATTTATTTTGTAAGTGACCTTCACTGTATTAGCTGAATCAGTAATCAGTAAAATTAATAGAATAATCAAATTATATACAAACTCATAAATCATTGCGAATATGCTGTCAAAACCACAGCTTTTAATATGTCCTATTGTTCCACAGCTGTATTAAAAATTGCARCTGCTGATTTCTGCCTTGATGGGGGCTGAAATGGCATTTAAAGGCTGTGTATGATGGAGGGCTACCAGGCCAAAAATTTTCACAACTGTTAATTTAGCTGTAATATGATTTGATGTCAMTGGGGCAAAGTTGAAGCCAAGTACAGTGTTGTTGCTATCTTTCAGCAAAACTTGAATTATTGGTGGAGGCAGTCGCCAGTTAATTAGAGTAATATCAGTTTAAATGTCTGTCATTTAGGGTTAATGGTATCAAAGAGTTGCCTTGTACTTCAAGTGCAGTCAAGTCATCTTGAATAGCCCATTGTATGAAAGTATTGCCAGCACAATGATTTTACTTTGTCATAAATTATTGGGGTGCYATTTAGTTTAATATTTCAATTTCTCTATTTAAATAATTTTGGCAAGTTCTTCCCAATCGTGTCATTTTTCATGCTAGGCCGTTTTAATAGGTGTTTTGGCTGTTTGTGATTGTTCAGCAACACAATCAAAATTCCTTTCCATTTTCATTTAAAAAGAGAAGTTTTCTGCTGGCTTCYTATGAAAACAGGTCGTGCCCTCCTCCCCTGGATAGCAGGTTACTCTTGGAAAGAAGTAATTCACATTTTTGTGCAGCCAAGCAGCAAAGTTCTTTTAAAGCACGCAAGAAAAATAAATTGCATGTATCAAAACCCAYTGGCTGTGGTTGGAAGTCAAAGGAAAGTTATAATTAATGTTTTTAACTAAGGAATCCTAGTTCTAGTTGAGTTAATAGTGCTATTGTTATGTGCAAGGTATGAAATAAACCCCTCTGAGTTGGTTTGAAAGATCCTGATACCTTCGTTGTCAGGCAGGATAGCAGCATTAGAGATTATAAACCCATGGCTCAAGCTTTTTTTATAATTCTTCAGTGGATGTTTAACCTTGGTGTCATCTTCAGCAATCTCCAAACAAMCAGGGCTCCATGGGATGTATCTCCTGGTTTTCCCTGAGTAGCAGAGATGTTTGTAGGGATGTTCCGGTGTGTCCTGTGGTTTGTGGTGGTGCTGACAGCTCCTGGAGCTGCTGCCCCTGGAGAGCAGAGATGGGCTCGGTGAGAATGCAGCCCTTGGCTGGGCTGCACCAGTCCTGCAGTGCAGAGCAAACTGTGGGAATGACTGTCTTTGGACTGTCTCATCTGACACTAGAATGTCAATGTTAAAGCTGTTTTTGAAAGTCAGATTTGCAAAGTGAAAGTTTCCAAGTTCGTCATCTGTGAAGATGATAGCAAAATGCTTTCACTTCAAAATCAGAGAATCACAGAACGGTTTGGATTGGAAGGGACCTTAAAGCTCATCCTATTCCACCCCCTGCCATGGGTAGGGACACCTCCCACTATCCCAGGTTGCTCCAAGCCTCATCCAATCTGGCCTTGGACACTTCCAGGGATCCAGGGGCAGCCACAGCTTCTCTGGGCACCCTGTGCCAGGGCCTCACTGCCCTCACAGCCAAGGTTTTCTTCCCAGTATCCAATCTAAACCAACCCTTATTCAGTTTATGACCATGCCACATTTTCCTGTCCTGCCATCCCTTGTCCCAGATCCCTCTCCAGCTCTCTTGGCACCCTGTTTTAGGCCCTGGAACAGACTCTAAGGTCTCCCTGGAGCCTTCTCTTCTCCAGGTGAACCCTCCCACCTCTCCCAGTCTGGCTCCAACCCCTTGATAACCCAGTGGGCTCCTCTGGACTCCACAGCTCCACATCTCTGTTGTTTTGGGGGCCCATCCTGTCAATAAATCAGCATTGCCAACATCTCAGTGCTGTGCCTTGCTGTGACACACTCCCCCTGAGTGCAGTGAGTTGTGATGCAGTAACCTGTGTGTTCCCTGTGTTGCAGGCTGTGTGCTGTGTTTGGGGGGATCTACTGCCTCCGTCACGCCGTGCGCTGCCTGGTGCTGGACACAGCCTCGGGAAGGTAAGGGTGACATCAGGAACCTGCTGTTTATACACAAAACACAGGTGAAAAATGTGTTAAGTCAATTTAAAAAAAAAATGATTCTTCAGAGATCCTCCTTGGTATTAATAACACATCAACCTTGATTAAAAGTAATTTGTGTATAGGTCCTCCAGAACAAGGAAAGTGGGTCTAGAATATAGAAACTAAATTAATTTCCCTGTGATATTACTGCAGCTCCTGATCACCCAAGCTTGGAAGACAAATCATTTCAGCTGCCGGGGGGCTGGTGATGAGTGATGTTAGTTTTCCTTGTGGCCTTACCTACTCTAATTGATTTTCATCAGATGACAACAAAGCCCTCTGTTATTGCATTTTTAAAAATGGAGCTCACCTAAAGACTCATCAGATTAATCTTTGCTGATAATGCATGTCACTCCAAGAGAAAAGACTTTAATGAGTTTTTAGGTRGATTGTTGTCATAAACTATGCTGCCCTCTTATTCCAGAATAAATTCTTTTACAACAATATCAGGCCTGTAGGCAGGTTTAAAGTGGAGCTAAGAAAAATCAACCCAGAGTTTTTTTCTATAGTGACTTTTTTCACACCTCTCTATATTGTATTTCTGTTATGCACATTTTGTCAGTTAGTAGTCTAACAGCAGACTTTGGCTCTCTAAAGATTCTGTTTGTGGCTTAGTTTCTACAATTGAGMAGTTCAAGATATTTTGTGGAAAATTTAGAAAATCAATTTAGAAATAATGTAGTAACAATGTATTAGGAAAAGGAGTTGTTAAATGATGGGGGTGGTGTGTTTCTTCACAGTTGCTCTGCAATTCTTTGAGCACAGTCCTTGTAGCTGCATTTGTCACAGCATGGTCAAGTGTAGTAGCTGTTTTCCCTGAAATTGTGTAAACTCCAGATTTTATCTTTCTGCCAATTCCTGAAGATTCTGGAGATCACTGCACAGTTGTAGATTTTGAGATGTAAATGTGGTAGTATTTCATCACATGTGTTGTTCCAAATGCATGATTCATATGCAAATTAAACTATGCCCCATTCAGAAATTCTGAAACTCTTTTATTTTAACACTGGTGCTTGAACTGTTACTGTAGAAAACTATATTCCAATAATATTTGAATAGTTCAATTGCTCTTGCAGGGGGACAAAGCTTATGGTTGGTAGCAACTTCCAAACCCCACTCTGTGCAGATTTAACTGGTCACTGGTACTGGTTGCCTCAGTTTTGGCTTCTTTTGCACATTTTGAATATCTTTGAAATGAATGAGTGTTTTCTGTTCCAGAAAAGCTGAAGTGCTGCTTTTCCATTTACCTGCTTTTATGTTTTGAATATACATTCCTCAGGGTTTAACATAGGTGTCAAGTGTCTTTTTTTAGGCTGCTTTTGTGGTTCACTTGTGCCATTTTAAAGTGATAGATTTTTRAGGAGCAAAATTACTGAAATACTTTTAAAAGACTTCACCAGGCTTTCATTATTCCAAAAACACTGAATTTTAATAATGCCATTATTTGATGGCAAATATGAAGAAGCACAACACATCCAAGATCACCATTTTCTTTATCTTGTTTCTTTCTTGGTGTTATCKCCTTCCTCACTGTGTACTCCCTCCRTGCACCAGCTTGTATTTCCTCTTGACTTCAGTGTTTTGCCTAATAAAAATCAGCTATCAAGTTGTTAATGAGGCTATTTATGAGTTACTGAGCTTTTGAGTCAACAGACCATTAATAGTAATTGGTAAGAGGCAAATTCATATCTGGTTGTCAGTAGAGCTGGCTCTGTGCTTGCAGAGGCAGCTTGCCCTGGTTACAAATGGCTCACACTCAGCACTGCAGAACTGCCTTGTGCTGTAGTCATTACCAGTTTATAGCACCTTCAACAGCCCTCCAGGCTTCATCCATGCCATAAGGCAGTGATTTTTTCTCTATTTTTAATATTCCTGGTTTAGTACATGTAAGGAAAATAAATACTTCTGTGTACAGCCTTGATTTCCATCTAAAACTTTGAGGTTAGAGTTTAATTAAATGTCTCTAAATATCACCGAGATTTATTCCAACTTTTTTAGACATGGCCAACATCACTTTTTCATCTTTTCCTACCCATTCCTTTATATACAGAGGACAGTACATTTCATCCCCAGCTCTACAATTACTTTTATTATTTTTCTATAGTCCTTTTTATAGTTTATGAAAGTAAGATTCAGGCAAGGCAGGGTGAAAAAATAGAAACTTTCAGACATCCCTATTAGTAATGCATTTTGGAATATCTGATATTTTATGTGTTATACCAGATCCACTATTTTAGTAAGTTTGCAGAACATTCTGTGTTCTTGGCAGAATTTTGATGGTCTAGAAAATAAAAACCACATCATATTTCTGAGGTTGATGAAAAAGCMCATTAAATATATGAATGATAGTTTTGTTGTTTTTCTCTGTGTTTATTGTATGTCAATTTTTTGGGGTGCATATGATACAATTTCATCATAATGGTAGGCATTTTATGTTGATCACACTTTACATATGTTTCCAATTACAKAATTCTGTCTGAAAATGMAAGAGATGTGATAAATGGACATTTATACATCTGTGATAAAAAGATAGAGCAAACACCCAGTAATTTACATATCTGCTGAAATACTGCAGGCTGGCTTTGTCAGTGCTGCTGAGTCCATTTCAAGGATGTYGCCCTTAGTCCATTAGTTTGGATAATGAGCCCTATAAAGTACATTTATAACTCGTGGCACTGCAAGGAGATGGATTCTAATTTTCATCCTTTTATCCAGACACATTGAAAGAAGGTCAATGGAGGGTTCKCTGTGATTCATTGTCGCAACACAGATCAGATGACAGAGACCTGATAATGTCAGTGCAGAAGTGTTTGCTGCTTTTGGAAGCTCTACTTGAAAGAAATTTTCTCAGTATCACCCTTTGAAGTAAAGTGGGACTGAAATTAAAAGCGGTCTCTCTCTCTCTCAGTTTAAAATCTTATCACACATATGACCTGCTGCTATTTCTGAACAAAGGAGAGGAAACGACACTTAGCAGGAAAATAAAATGTGTCGTCGCTTTCRCTGGCTTTGAGTGATGCAACATGACATTTAATCAACCTTTCCCCTTCCCTAATGTTTAGGGGGCGGCAGGGAAATTGTTTCATAAACAATAAGAAAGGTTATAATTAGAAATGAGCTGCAGCAGCTCGACTTCCTTGTTTATTTGCAGTATTCAAATGAGAAATGAAATCACTGGGGTTAACAGTTAGGAAAAACTTGTTACAAGTGAAACACATGTTGGGTAGAATTTGAAACTAAGAATTTTGCATGTTTAAACAGTGCTTGGACTGTTGTGAAGGTACCTGTTGAGTTTGAATATGGGAATATGTGGAGGAGCCAGAGGAGGTCAGCACTAGAAGTCAGTRTTACAAAAACATGTTTAATAGTCATAAACCTCTTACTTTTATAGATGAGGATTGTGTGTGCACCCTTTTTCAATTCTCATCTCAGGTTACAGGAACAAGTGGTCTACCAGACTTAGTGGGAGCTGATTATTACTTATTTATGTTTGGGTTTATAGATCATTTTAATCACAGAAGCTGACAAATAAGTTGCAGAAATKTTGTTCAATCCTAAGGCATAACTTGCATGTCAGATATTCCACAGATAACGTTGCTTTATGATAAAACWCAGGTAAATCTGTACATGATCTCTGACTCGGGCAGCTCATGTTCCTTTGGATGTTTCCCTGTGCATGCACGTGTGTATAAGTGTGTGTGAGAAAATTCCCTGGTTTAAATCCTGTATGTTGAATTGTTAAAACATTGTTAAAGTAATTCAGAAAAATTTAATTTAAAAAAAAAGATAATTTTCATACCCCGGGAAATGGTTAAGTAAAGCTAATATGCTTTATTTATTTATACAGTAAATGTTCTGATAGTGTAGAAGAGAACACAGATCATGGATATAGGAATCAGCAGTAGAGGTTGCTTTAGTGAGTATCTGTGTGCAGCCTCCTTTGTCTCATATATATGATGTAGCTTCATATGTCATATATAAGTCTGAAGTTTGTTCTTTCATAGAGAATTTTCCCCCTTAAAATCTGAAATTTGTATTCTCATGTAAGCTCACTGAATTRTTTCATTTCTCTGGTTTGCATTTCTGTCCCACTTCTATTTCTGTCCCTGTTCTACGGAGAAYATTTGTGTTGTTCTCAAAACACCATGACTTGTTAATCCTTTTGTGTGTAACTTAGAGATTAAGGGTATATTTAGTCACAAATRGAGCAACTCACTCTTGGAACAGTCTGATGCACTCACTTGTCAGGGATCTTTCCATAAATCTSTGAAGTTAATTTGCTCTTTAACTTGTCAAGTATTATTGTCAAAATAAACTTGTCTTTGATAAAGGTGTCTGACTGAGGAAAGAACCCCACAGTGATAGGGTAGCACCTACAAAATAATTCACAAACTGTAAAAACTGAAAATTGTATACCAGATAAAAAAATGTCAGTCTCGGATTTAGTGATCCGAGTGATCCCAGTGATCCCAGTTGGGCTGGTTTAGGGGTTCACATGTTCAATAAATAGGTAGCCAAATTCACTAAAAGATGTAAATATTGTGCTGTATAACTCAATTTTACAAACTTATGCATGCTTTTTTTTTAGCTTACATCAAAATTCCTTATTATAATTTGGATTTTTTTTAAACAGGTGCAAAGCTATTGTGGATCAATTTGGACAAAGAATAAGTGCYMAGTATTTTATTGTGGAAGATAGTTACCTCTCAGAGAGCACATGCACAAATGTGTGTTACAGGTATGTGGGAAAACAGAAAACACAGTCAATTTCTTTAAATAATGATGTATAAARTACCCTGCAAGTTAACTGAGGAGYCTCTTGCCCACTCCTTTATTTTTGCARTATGGTTCAGTTCTGTGCAAAGTATTGCTTTTCTATAAACTGGAGAATATACTTGTGTACTTTCTATATTCAGGTTTTCTTCAATTGTCATTGAAATAATACTCCCTTTTTCCATATTAAAAAATCCAAGAGCTTTATATGTGCTAGGAATTTCATATTTGCTGAAATATATTTGGAAAGTGAAGGTGCGAATTGCTGTCCTTGCTTTAAGTTTGTTCAGCTTTAGAAGAGTACTRAACTTCATTGTTTTCTGTGATTTGATTGTTGTAGCTAAAAGCATTGGCCATGCACTGCCTCTGTCTCCAGAACAGTGCAGATAAGATACCAGCAAATTTAAGAGAGTGAGGGCAGAGCAGAAATAACCCTGGGCACTGGAGGAGCACAAGCTGCAAATGATAAATTCCGCCCTGCTGCATATCCCCTTCATCCCAAGAGGCCTTAACGTGATCAAATAGACCAAAGAACTTAAAAAACAGAAGGAGGCTGCTTTATACAACTGCACTGCCTCATTTATTCATCACCTGTTTTGGTCATTGAAGATAATACATTGATGTTCCAGGTGTGYTTCTGCTTCAGCAACAGGSAAAATAYCCCACTAAAAATCATAGTAATAAAGATTATATAGTGAAATAGCCCTGGTAGTACCAAAGCTATGATTTTTAATTGCTATTTTTTTGCATTTCTGTTTTCATTTTGCATAATGACATTTATTATATCATTATTTTTRCATAATTCTTTTGTTTAATTGTAGGCAGATCTCCAGGGCAGTGCTCATTACAGATCAGTCTGTACTGAACACAGACTCAGAGCAGCAGGTACACACCAATTCTGTATCACTTGTCTCTTTGTGTATTACATCTGTCACTATTTAGTTGTTGGTAGGAATTAATTCATGGGTTTGTTTCTGCTTGAATCAAGGTCTKTAGTCAACTCTCTGAGCAGGTAATTGTTTAATTTGTTTTAGTCTCTGTAAAACTATTACAAATCTAATTTAGTTCAATGACTGGGATTTTCCTGTTTGACTCACATGCTAATTAATAGAGTTTCTAAACTCCTGTCTTTAATTTTGCTTGCTTCTTAATAAACTGTTACCCTTACTATTCTATTAATTATTTGTCTTGTCTAAACTTTGTTCCAAGTTTCTTTGGTTTTTTTTAACATTCCTTTTTGCGGTTTGAAGTCCTCATTGCCAGTCTTTGCAGTCCTTAATTTTAGAGGATATTAATCAGTGTTGTGTTTCTTCTGTCTGAATAAACCACAAAACCAAGCTGTGGAATTGTCTGCAATTCCTTTTCATTTTTAGTGAGGATTGTGCAGGTTGCCACATTCTCCAGKTTACCACAATCTCTTCTTTCTGCTCCCCAGGTTTCCATTCTGACAGTGCCTCCCCTGGAATCAGGAAAAGCAGCAGTTTGTGTCATTGAGTTGTGTTCCTCCACCATGACCTGCATGAAGGACACGTGTAAGTAAAGGAGATTTTCCCCTTTGGCTCTGTAGCTCTGAAACAGAATTAGAAATCTGTGTGTGTGTTGTTCCTCTGCTGCACAGAACACAGGGAGCAGTGGCTTCCTGGGATCGTGGAGCTTCAGGGACTCATTTTCATTTTATTCAGAATAAATCCTTCTTCACGAGATAAAAAAAATATATTCCAAAGCCCATGAGTCTTATTGTTAATTTGTCATTTGTTTTTATTTTAAATGGGCTCCCTTAGCTGAACTGTAAAATGTAAATACCTGAAATACACTGTATTTTGGAGCTTTTTATCTTCCRAAAGGATTCTTTCATTGATATTTCATGTAAACTTGAAGTAAGTGAGCAATAAAATGTTCACTTTGGGTATTTATTGGAATAGAATTGGAGGTTACCTTACTTAATTCTTTCTACCAAGAAATAAGTAACTATAATAATAACCAATTTATTTTGCTGTTAAATAGGCATGAAGTAAGTTCTTTGCATATAAAAGTGAACTAAATTATTAAGTCATATCAAAATTACATTTCCTACTAAAATAATAATAAAATATTATAAACCTGTAATTAGTTAATAACTTCATGCTATAAAGCATATTGTTAATATTTATCCTTTAAACAGTTGATCTCTTTTTAGTTAAGGGTTCACAAAATGTATATAGCAGGAAGTGAAACTAATGTAGGATTGATGTTCCATAGATCTAAAGTATTAGTTTCAGGAGAATTTTTATGGTGCTGAAATATTAAGGTTTCTGTTATTTACTTTTCTCCATAAATTCCTTTCATTTCAGAAGAGAAGGTACTTCCTTCCTTAATGAAATTTGTCTTCATATATTGAAATAATAAAGTCCTATATTCGTTATAGCTGAATTCCAGTTATGAGACATATTTCATAATTTTTTAAAAAACTTTTACATCATTATCTGTAAATGGATTTTAACCTGACTGATTTCTCCTTGGAGCAATTATTTAAGATAAGTATACAAATACATCTACTCTCTGATCACACTGCACAAATGACAGGCACATCATCTGTATTGCCACTTGAGTGGAACCAAACTCCTTCACTTGCCCTAAAAATGGAGACTGTAATGATGAAATCAGGAACTGAACTCATCGTTCTTCTTGCTGGGAGAATTACTTGAAGACAAATGTTGGCAACCACTGTAACTAATGCAGTTATACCTGAGTAAATCAAATATAATCAAAATATATACTGATGACTGTGACTCATAACCATAACCCTAAAGATAATAAAAAAGAATTTATAGAAAGTAAATGATGTGAACTTTAGTGATTTATAGCTGGGTTTTTTGAGGAAAGAATAGATTATATTATAGTGTTTGGGRTTAGAAAYATCCAGTTAARGTTAGGGGGAGRCTGATTATCACCASCCTTTKTCTTRTTTTAGTACATATTYCTTYAGACAGAAGGTTTGGTTTGGGTTSAATAAAAAATRAAKATTTATTTTTKAATAGAATCTGTWTGTKTGCAACCTGAAAGTAGAAGAGCATGAAGGGTTAAATTTCTGTTCCTCATAGAATCAGGGTCAAGTGTGTGATGTACTGGAAAATAATGACAACAAACACAGACAGACTTCAGAGAGAAGAGAGAAAAATGTCATCTAGGTTCAAAATAATACCAGAGCTCCAGATTGCTAAGAATGGATCAGAAATTTACAGTAATGAGGAAAAAAAACCAATCAGTTTAAATGTTGTGCAAAGTTACATTAAATTTCTTCATGATTGTCTGATGGATACTTCTCTGGTGAGAAGTTCCAATTGTAAATAAGTCCATAGTAYATCCACAGTACAGCACTTCCCTGGCTTAGAGGAAGTCATTTGCACATGATTTCTAAAAGCCTGCTGTGCCTTATAAGAATTATAAATGTTATTTATAAATCTGTGATTGTAATTARTTTGTGTTCTCTTTCCACAGATTTAGTCCATTTAACCTGTCCATCAACTAAAACTGCGAGAGAAGATTTAGAGCCTGTGGTACAGAAGTTATTTAATCTRAATACAGAAAAAGGTAAAAATAAATAAGGTATTAAGATAACATTTTGCATAAATATAATTTTAAGTATCTGTTACTGACTCCTTCAGCTGTGGTTTAACTTCAGTATCCAAGGACATGGCTGCAAGTGCCTGGGTTCTTTTTAATTTTTGCACTTTTTTGCCATGAAATGCATTTGCTGTTCAGCACATCCTTGAAAGGTGCAGTATTGAAATGAAATATTTGTGAAACTGTTTTTTTACTGAAATCACTGAACTGTTTTCAGTGATTTCTATCAGCTGGGTATCCCTTACAAAAGTTACCAAATCCCCAAAGGTCAGTGATCTGCCTCTCCTCCAGCTGCCAGGTGTGCTCAGTGCTGGGAGCTGCTTGGGTTGCTTTTGCTCCTCTGATTCTCAGGCTGTTGCTCAGCCTCTTGTCTTCTAATGTTTCCTGATTTGCTGTTTTAATTGAAATTCTCTGCATTCTGCTCTAAGCAGTGGAAGCATAAAGTTGTACTGTATTGTTATCACAAAAACAGGTTTCTAATAATGAACTACTTGGCCCTAAATTSAAGGAATCCTTGCCAGCTACTTTTATGAACTTTGGCCTTGAGATGAACAATCCCAAACCCCAGAGGAAAGCAGCTGTTGATGAAGCAATTGCTGCCTAGAAGGAAGTTGTTCCTTAAATACTTGGGTTCATTTCACTCAAGTTTTTGAAGTTTAATCCTGAGATGTTGTATTTTATCCTATTGATGGCAGATGCTGACAGAGTAGGCAGTGTGCATATGGGAGATGCTGCTGTGTTCTAACCCTGGCAAAAGCATTTTGTATACAGTGTGCCCATGCTGCCAGGCAGTATTTTGTTGGTATAAATGCAGGTTACTAAGATGTGGCAGTATTTATAATATTCATAATTGGTGTGCTTATGTTATGTAGAAAACATCTTGGGTTTGTAAACAGAAAACTTGATTAGACTGGAGAGTTGCAGGCATTTCTCAATTGTATATTTGTTAATTTAAAGCCTGCTAATTTTCAGCTTTTAATATTTAACTTCTATCTAAAATTTTCAATAGAGTGCCATGTGTTTCAAAGACTTGTTGAAGAGAGGATCAGCTTAGTGTCTTCTAATCATTTGGGGAGGTAYAGCATTAATCTTCATGTTTAAAGTGATCCAGTTTCGAAATGATAGATTGTTTAGAAGCTGACTGAAATTCTTCTGTAGAAACTCTGTGATCATAGGGGTCCTCAGGTGCACTGAGGCACTGAAAAGCCAGTTTTCCCTGACACATAGGCCTTTTTATCATCAGGATGAGGTAGTGGTCGTATTTTAATTAAAATGTCAGAACAAATACTGTTGGAGTTATTGAAAATGAATCACCAGATAAAGTGAGCACTGGGCCATGGCAGGTCAAAGAGGCAAAGTCACCTGGAGAAGAGGACTCCATTCATTTTCTTGCCTAAATGAGGAAGAAGTAACTTTTATGAGCAATGTGAACTTTTAAATATATTAAAGAGCATCTTGCCCTGTATTAAGGCTCAGACTTTCACAGGCTGATGAATTTAATTTATATTTCAAACTGTTCAGTATGGGTAGCATCTGGTTTTTTTTTTAACTATTTGACAGTTATAAAAAGATACTGAAGGAATAGCATAGATTTATCTTTTTTTTGTAATACAACTGCTTTAAAATACTGTTTTGAATGCCATTGCTATCAAGAGGTTTCTTCCTTGAAAAGAAGTAAATCTCACAGGGTCTTTTACAAGCTTCATTTATTTTAGAGGAGGTAAAATCCAAGAAAGGGGACAGCAAATATTCCAAACAAATAGTATCTATTAAGCTCAGAATCTGTGTTGTTTATTCCTCCATTGCATTCTGCTTGGTTAAAAAGTGACCTTCATCTTCCCAGGGGTTTTTGTGCCTGTGTGCAGAGGGATTACAGGAATGGGCAAAGTCCTGCAGGAAGGGACAGGTTTTGAGCAATTAAGTTGAGTTTGTGATAAATTTGTATTCATGCTGAGTATTGTAGCACAGTACAATCCTCGGTAAGTGCAGATAAATACAAATTAGTMATTTATTTTCATTTAGCAGCACTTCCCCAATTTAGAGATTCTACGTACAAAGATAAACTCTGAAATGAGAGGGGAACAAGTGACACATCAGAAATATCTGTGCACAGGGAATGCAATGCCTTCAGGTTGGCAGAGCCTGGGGAGGACTTGCTYAGTCTGTCATGTGCTCTGGGAGTTTATCCACAGTGAAGGAGATAATGTGGAGAGTTGTTAAATTTAGAGCAGACTCCTTGGTGGGGTGCTTGTAGTGATAACAGCTTCTGGTGTGGTGTGGGGTGCACAGGATTTGCATAGCTGTGGCTGGAAAGGAAGGGGAAAGTGTGGGGAAGGAGAATCTCAGAAAGGAAGGGAAAGTTAAATAATTGGTTTTTTAAAGATCAGAAATATTTTATTCCATGGTAAAAATTTGATTTGCAGTATGCTAGATTACATCTTTACCTTATCATACAGCAGCACTGATTATTGCTAACACTCCTTTTCCTTTTCAGAGACTGAAAATGAAGAGCTGGAGAAACCCAGAGTCCTCTGGGCAGTCTACTTCAACATGAGAGATTCTTCAGGAGTTGAGAAGARTTCCTATGCTGGCTTACCCTCCAACGTTTATGTCTGCTCTGGGCCAGACCCGGCTTTAGGAAATGACTGCGCTGTCAAACAGGTTGGCCAGACCCGATTTTATTTGCCAAACTTTTATTTTAATGACATAAGTCCAGTACAGTCTGGGTTATTCTGCATTATCYATAAATATACATGCTAACTCCCAAAAATGATGAAACTAGCTAGATGGAGAGATCAGGAAATAGCCAAAGCCTTTCACCTGAAAGGTGAAAGAGGAGGTGCAGTACAAATCAAAGCCTGAAAATGCTATTTACAGTTCATGTTGGAAAGATCACCAAAGAAGGATATAGTCACAAAAGAAAAACTTTTTCTCTTACCTTGAAAAAGTTAAACCCCAGCTTTTTAGGATGTTGTACCCCCTTGCTCCCCTGACTTACTAGGCAAGGCTTTCAAATGACAAAGTGATGGTTTTGAAGTAGAGAATATAATTGTCCATTTTTTTCTGTAGTAATGTAGAAAGTTTTAAACAGTTTTGCATGAGTATGGAAGAGTAGAATTTCAGRAGGAGAATGAAAAATGAAATTGAACTCAGAGTAGACAGGGTCATTTAAGCAGTTAATAACAGAGTCCTGCACCCACGTGCTGGTGATGGAAATGCAGTGCTGGTGGGCAGTGGAGTTCATCACAGAAAGCTGTTGGGTACATGCTCAGTGATGGATTCATCTGAAAACAATTCCCTCTTGTCCAGGATTCCACATCGTGTAATGGGCCTTTGCAGTTGGCATTAAGTGACCCCTGTCAGCTCTGCAGGGCAGGGCCTGGAGCAGGAGGAATATCAAGATTAAATGCATTCCTGCCCATGTGGGAGCTCACAGGCTGCCTTGGGGGAGAGGTTACTGAGCAGACAAATGCAAAGGGAATATTCCTCTGCCTTCTTAGAAACCCAAACCAGACCCAAGAGCTGCTTCAGGTGCCTRTGTTTGCCTTGGAAACTTAAGGACTTAGAAAAGGAACCCTTTAGGGAAGTGTGGAGGGCATATGGATTCAGTGAATGAATTCCCAAAGTCTCAGGCTTTGCTTATTTTTAATTAATTTATAAGATAATCTTGTAGATGGGTTATTTTACAAGCCCATGTAAAAGTTTTTAATGCTAGGTAATGGAGCTTCTTGCATTTTTGTGGGGTTTTTAAGGATTTTTGGCCGCCTTTGCATAAAATTTCTGGTTCTCTGGAATCCTAAGATGGTATATTTGGCTCCTTTTTCTCCCAGATTTCCTAGTTGTGTTTTCCATGTTGTAATAACAACCACACTGGTATTCCAAGAACATGTTTCTTTCTAATATCTTCCATTGCTGTGGCCAAAAAACTTCTTGCATGTACCTAATTTATAAACCTTGATGGCATGAAGAGCAAATGCCATTGTAAATTAATTCCTTAAACTAGATCTGTCTTTCTATCTAAAATACAGTTCTTTTCACACATACAGTTCTCTGTGCACACAGGTCTGTGCACATAATACCTTGGAATTATAGACATGAGTTTTTCATAACTAAAATGTATTTGGATATATTTTCAATGGTAATATCACATTGGATGAGAATAGTTCTTGGCTGAGCTATGTTTAAGCTGTTCAGAAAAAGAGAAGTAAAAACAGTTTTGCTATTTTTACATTTCAGAAGAAAATCTCTATAGCCATGATATGGATTGTAYATATGTACAGTTCCCTGGGTTTGCTTGTTGTGTGAAATGAATCCCTCTCTTTGGAAAGAGGCACAATCTTTCCCCTGCTTTGCATTTGACTGCAGCTAGGGATGGTTTTATAATGGAAAAGATCAGTTTGCTTCCMAAAAAATCCTCTTCCTTGTTCTCARTACAAYATAGAATGACCAGCATTTTTTACAAAGCCCCATGCTGTGACTTCCTWGTAGAACAATGTAAAAAGATAAATTGCTTTTTCTCTTTTGAGGTCTGCAAGAAGAAATGGATTTCCCATGTGTTTACAATACTGTCAAAGTACTAAATCACTATTGATTTGAAAGAACGGAGGTTAATCTTAAATATCTGTAAAATATTGCCTCAGGGTGTTACATTTCAAGGTAAAGTTTATGTTATTCTTCTTTTTCCTGAATAGGCTGAGACTATTTTCCGAGAAATGTTTCCAACAGAGGAATTTTGCCCACCAGCACCGAATCCCGAAGATATTATTTATGATGAAGATGAGGTTGAACCAGAAGAGTCTGGATTGAGTAATTCAGCAGAGACAAAACCTGAATCCTCAGCTGAGGAGAGCAGTAGTGGAGGTGATGCTGCTGTTACAAAGGAAGAGTGAATGAATGAATGAATGAATGAATGAATGAATGAATGAATGAATGAATGAATGAATGAATGAATGAACAGTGTTCTCTTAGTAGAAGAGGTTGACCCAAACTGGAACGTAAAGGAGAAAGCGTAAGAAAAAAAGGTTTAAAACCCCCAGAGATGTGCTGTTTACCATTGCCTTATTTTCTTTAGCTTGAATCATCTTTTTTAAATAGTTTCATTGATGGTTGAGGCACTTCTGAGCAGTCATTAGTCTACCAGATCCAGTGGAGTTTGTAGCTAAACCAAAAACCACAGAATGAAGCATCTGATTTGGAAGTGCTAAAATAGGATTCATGATTTGCTGAGAAAATTTGGTTTTGTTTTACTTCTTGGAAAGGATCCTCCTTCTTTTAAAGAGGCAGCAAGTCAAAACTACACAAAAGAAAAAACTGCAAGTTTGTTTACCAGTTAGAAGATGATCTTCTACTAAAAATCCTTGGATGTCTGCTAATTAAACTGCTGAAGGTGAGGCTCAGAATCTGTCCTTCACAGTGGTTTTATGAATGGTACTTAAAGGCAATAATATTGACAGGTCTGGAGTGGCTTTATAGTATGGTTTTGAAACTAATGCCATAATCAAGTAGGAGTTACAATCCAGAGATATTCCTTACATGGAACTATTTTACTTTCAGTTTTTTTAAAAAGACCAAACAGGTGACACATTTTCACTAGTGACTTCATTTACTGTAGTCAGGAAAATGGTACAATTTAAACTTAATGTCAGATTTCCCAACAAAATTCAAAATCATAAATGGAGCATACCTGATTTTAGTTTTCCTGCATTTGTTGCACTGTTTGGGCCTTTAGTAAGCCAGTAGATACTTTTTGAAGTTTGGGTCTGARAAGTTTAAATGACCATTTACTGAGAGGGTTTGTGGTGGCAAGAAGGTTCAACTGACAATTCCAAAGGTTTGTATTGATCCCAGTTAATAGGATTAAAATTAGTGTGATAGCTGTAAACTATGCATTTTSTAATGATAAATCATGAAGCATTTATACAATAAAATTTATTGAACTATTTATAAGCCTAGTTTGTATGAAAAAACTACAAAATGAGAAAGCTRTTGTGAATGACCATGTTAAACTTGCACTTCTTCTGAACCATGCTTGAAATCTGATATGAAAAATATTTATCATGTTCTTAAAGATTTACTTTAAACCCATAATATCAGCAAGATTTGATGAGTTGGGGTTTAAACTTCTACATGAAGGTAGAGCTGGTTCCAGCAGTGCTTAAATACTGTAAGTAAATAAAAAATGCCATYGAGTCATGAGCATTCAGCACTGCCTGGCCATGGCACAGCCAGGCTTCTGTACAGTCCCATGGTGCCCGTGCCTGCCTTGAAACTGGCTCCAGGCCAGAAAGGGTAATTTATTTATTTTTTTACAGCATAACTGATACTGTTCTCTTTGTCCTGCATCATCCCCCTGTCCAGTTTGCATTTCAGGGTTAGTGCTTGCATCCTTTGTTGGATAGGTACCAATACGTGTTTGTCTGTGTGTGCAAATCCCAAAGTCCTCAGAAAAACACGTGGCTGGAATGTCACCAGTGTTAAACAACTGTAAMCTCTGGATGCTTGTGATTGAGCAATTATTTATATATAAATATATATATATAATAATAATAAGCAGGCTGCCTCTTCATTTAGCTGTAATTTCTGTGTATTGGAAAGCATGAGTGTATGGTGATTGTATTTAACATCTGCAGATCTGTAAAAAAACTAAGTGGAGGACCTAGTCCCYGTTTTTCTTTCAAAAGCAGGGATCACAGTTGAATTTCTCATCTCTGTTTACAAGGAACTCTTGAAAATTAAAGGTTTGCTTGCAAATGCATTGTCTTGTGTTTTYTTTCCATTTTCTTTCAAATCAAAGCAGTTTGTTTGTTAGCTGGGATTTCCTGGTGATTCTCTTGGCTGCTTTCAGCACGAAGATACCTGTGATTGCCAATATGGGTACCTGTGTTATCAGGTTTGTATAAAGCCATATCAGAATGCTCTCTGCCCCTGTGAAACCAGGTTTRGAAACAGTGCAAATTTGATTTCACATYTGATGGAATGATGTACAAGTMRGAGGCTATGACTTTACACTACATTGATTGCTTAAAAAGTGTTTTCATGTCTCTTTCATAGGGTGAATRGAAACATAAAATGTTTTTCCTATGGTACTTGAGTACCCAATAGCTCACTTGCAGGAGCAGTAGATCAGACTGTTGATCTTGGTATTTTACAGAAATCATTGTCTGAGCTGCATTTTGTTCTTTCTTTAAATGATGTAAGCATGCAAAGTGAGGGTTAGGTTTATTTGAAGACGTTTTTAAGGCTTGTCATACAGGATGTATTCAAAAGATAACATGACTTTTTAAAAACTGGCAATTTATCTGTAGGATTATTAATAAATCAAGTTAAAGAAAGATAAGGTTAATTGAATTTTTAAACAAGTAGCTGTATTATCCTTCAAGCACCTTGGAGCTCATACAATATTCACACCTTTTTTTCCTGAGGAGTGCTTTGATATGTTTGAATTCCTTTTTTAATGAGTACTTTCTTTTTAAGTTGGTTAATTGGATTAACCCTTAATATTCCAGCAGCCCATTTTATGCCATTTTCCCCTCTGGCATTGCCTTGGCTGCAGGACTGCAGKTGGTTACTGTTCCTTTGGAGGTATTTTCAGCCATGAAGCTGCTTCGTCTGCTTTTTCTGGGGATGATGATGATGCTTAGGACCATTTGACAGGTAATCATTAGAACCTGAATCCTTGCAGACTGTGGGGTCTTTTTYCCTATCATTGCAGGGGGATTTATGTGGGCAACTCCTATTAATGWTAATGGGACTTGCATGTGTAAATCCTCCTTGCATCAATGGGAAAATTGACCCTTGGAAAAAAATACCTTCTGTTAGACTTGCTGATTCAGAAACATCCTTTGTGGAAATGTGCTGGAGAATGTGCTGGTTAACTGGAGTGCTGTGGAGAGGACTGGGGAATTTTTGGGATTTTATCTTTAATGTTGCATTTTATATTTTCCATAGAAATCTTGTCAGAGTTCCCCCAATGATTGTGTAGCTGGGAGTGATTCCCCATTCCATACTGAGAAGGTTGCACTGCTCCTTAGTTTGGATCTCATTGTATTTTAGCCCCACTCTGTCATCCCTCTAAATCTTTTTGGATCAGCAGTGTGAGTTGCAACAGCTTAATTTCAAGAATAATTTGCTGGTGATGTATTGATTAATGACAAGTCAGAAGTATTAATGTACTCTTTTCACACAATAAGAGACTGGGTCACTTCCAATCCATAATCTCATCTGGAGAAAGGATAAAATTGATCTCAACACTCATGTCTGTGCTTCAATACTTGGGCAGTACAAATGAGAATGATATTTCTTTATCTGTGGATAAGTTTATTTGTTCTGTATTGTGGATTTTGTTGCTCACTCGTTTACTGCTGTAGATGTTTTCTGTAATCTCTGCAGTGCATTTTTGGGCTTTACTTAACTGGGGATTTTATATCAGTAGCAAGTCATCCCTTGGATGTAAAACTCTGGAACTGCTCTGAACTGCTCCAGGGATCTCTCTTGGTTTTTCTGCCTTAGTGAGTGCTCTCTTTAGCCATTAATACCAATAATCTCTGCAGATTCTGGTGGGTTGTCTGCTGTTCGTGTCATTGTTTCATTTTTTTTTTTGAGGATTTTGTGCTTGCCATTAATGCAACTGCCAATTTTTCAGCAAGGGGAGCAATTTGCTGGGATCTCATCATGACACACTTGATCTGTGTGTCTACAATTCCTAACCATTTTTCTCTAATGTGTGTATATGTGTATTGTATGACAAAATTATTAATTCATGAAAGCTTATAATTTAAAATTTTGCAGAAACCAGCCACTCTAGAATGTCCAAAAGTTAGAATTACCCACATTGCTAGAATTGTCAAAAATATGTGGTGGCAAAGCAGTTGCCTGCATTCCTTGGGTAATTAATAATGCCAGGTATCTATGGTAATATGTAGAAGTGCTTGTGATGCTGGAAGTTTGAGAGATATAAAACATTCATTTATTTCATTCCAATTTAATAGTAAGATTGATGCAATGATCAGATGGAAATCTTAGGTGTTGCATGATTTCAAGAACCTTTTCTTAGTGCTGAAAAGTTTCCATAGAAGGTTTATTTGAGCTGTAGAGGTGAGTGGTAGGAAATGGTCAGCCATGTGGAATTCATGTTGTCAGMCTCATCTCCAGCAACAAAATAACTCGTGGTGGAAATAGAGCTTATTAGCAATTCCACCATTATGTTTATTTACAGGCTGCCAGTTCCTGTTTGTAAGRGTGAATGGTTCTTCAAAATCTGGCTGGGGAGCCCAGCAGGAATGTTGTAAATCTCAGTGACATCTGAGATTTAGCAAGTTGACAGTGAAGTATCAGGAAGATGCAGTTGTTGACTGCATGGGAGTTCTGATCAGAGGGGACTTTAATAGAAAATACTCTTCCTGTCACAATTCCARCAGACAATTTATTTTACACTACTTGCATACATTGACAAAAGAGATGGAAAGTATCAACCTGAGTGTATATCAGACCCAGATGTGTTTGACTAAACAATTTAAGAAGTCTCACAACACCCACATTTTTAGATAGAGATTTTCAGAATCTCATTCTTCCTTCTGAAGTGCTGCCCCATAATTCATAATGTTTGGGTCTCTGCAGGAGTGTTGTTCCTGCATTCTGGTCAGGGCTTCAGGACCTGGGGCAAACCAAGCCTGTGGATCTTCCATCCACCTCTGACACAGAGGAGGCTTCTCTGCTGAGCTGTTGACAGTTGGTATCCAACAAATTCACCTTTGCCTTTCAGAGGTGCATTTTTGCTGCTCCAGCTTCAGGAAGCTTCTCTTGTGAGCTCTGTCCTGTTCCTTTTGRTGTAAGGATGAAGCTGGGAGACGCTGCTCTGTTGGGAGTGATTGTTGGAGCTGAGGTCAGCAATGATRAAATATCTGGATAATGCTGTACCAGAGTGCAGCTCACTGAGCCCTCAAAACCAGTTCAGAAACCATAAAGCCAGCGTGGGTTTTGCAGGTGAGCTGCCAGTTGGAAATTTGAATCTGGGAAAGAATATGAGAGTCTTGTCTTAAAAACCAAAACTGAAAAAATCCCAGATCCAAACACTCCCGGGCTGTTTTAGACTCTGTGTCCATAAGAAACTCTGTCGTGGCTAATGTTGGATTCTGCATCTCTGCCTCAAACCCAAGCATATTTCTGGAGCTCACCCAAGGGAAAGCCATTTAATCATGATGAGAGACCAGCTGTCAGCCCAATGCAATGAAACAGTTCCCTGCTCTGGGAACTTTTCYGTAGCGTGAAAGTCACTGCGAGTCATGCTTGATTCCTTTGTTGTGAATAAATTACCCAGTGAATTCAGCCTTTTTTTTTCTTGTGCAAAAATTTGTGTAAGCCCCAGCTAAGTACCTTCAGTGAATCATTTTTAGACTGTAGATWATTCAGGGAGAATCCACTGTGGGGTTCTTAACAGCAACTTATTGGCTTAAGTCATGGGGCATTTTCCTGCCCTGTATTTGGGTGCTGAAATAATACATAATAATGAATACACCATTTTAAAAATCGCATCTTTTTAAGACAGAAAAAAAGGCTTTATGAAAAATACTTTAATATCCATTATCAGGGAAGCCGTTGTAAAATGACTTATTTTGGTGACACTTGTACAAAATGTATTTTCTTTCTGTGACAGTTTTAAGCCAGGAAACATTTGATTCCCTGCCAGGCGCTCAGTGTGATTCTAAAGTGAAAATATGAGCATGGTAAAAGCCAGGAGGAGCCYTCTCCGTTGCAGTGTGAGGATATTCCTGCCTGCTGAGGGAACGTGCACGAGTGTCACAAGAGTCACAGAGCAGGACTCAGGTGAGGAATAACCCCAGCAGTGTTTTATGGATTCTCTTGGGACTCCACAGAATTGGGTGTGTTTTTTGGCTCTGGCACTGGTTTTCCTCACTGAACGTGGTTGAGTCATTTCCCTTTAATGCTGCAGTAAAAAGSTGTAAAACTGTGACAGGTATTTTCTGAAGCTTTTGGAGAGGTCAATGAAATATAAAAGTAAACGTATTTGAGAAAGAAAAGGAACAGTGGTAATGATAACTGTACAAATAGRTAGCAGGAATACTTGAGTAGAGGGGCAAATGATCTGAGGAAAAAATCCAGTTTGACTCTGGTAACGTGACTGGGATTGCAGATGTTTTGTTATTCCACTCCCTTGTTCCATTCCTGACATTTCCCGTGTTTCTCAAGTGAGATTTCACCAATCAGCACAAACTCTGTGTTTACTGCTTAATAAAAACAACATTATCTGTATTTTTTGAAATCTTTTTCTGATTAGGCATATTTTGCTGGCAGATTRTAATGCATATTGCTTCATTGTTTAATTAGGACTTAATGCTAATGTCATTAACATTCTGTTTGATAATTCAGGAGGTTACCTATTTATAGACATAATGGAAGTCGTAACTTTTTGTAGTCAAATGCTTCTGAACTGTGCTATTAAATKAAAAATAAACTTCCTCTAACCTGACATTAGCTTTCAGTTTCATTGTCCATGGTCCAGTGAGTCTGAAAAATGCTGCTGCATGCTCTAAAAATGGGATTTTTTAATTACTATTTTTCAGTGGAGTCTAACTCATCCTTTCCTTTGAGGAATGAAAAAAAAAGGAAAAATAGACCAAACTAAGCAAGAATCTCAGAAAACTCTGAAGTTTAAAATATTGTCCTTGAAGATAATTGGAGTTTGGAACACTGAATTTAAGTGATTGGAATCTTGTCCAAATTTTATTCTGTGGTACTGCTTATAAAT